CTCAAATTTGTTTATGATGTGAGGTTTTACATCTAGATCATGATTATCTGCAGGAGGATTACATATGAAGTGTCAATTTCCACTTCATATAACCAGCATTAAAAAAAAGGGATATGGTAATTCCATGTTGTTTCCACAACTGTCCTGTTTGCCTGTGTTTCCTTTTGAATTTCCTTCAAATTCCCATCCCATTCAGCATAAGGATCAACATGCATCAAAGGGGAGAGGTAAAGAAGTAATATCCTCTACAGGCATACAAAAGGCATTCTTCTGATTAAGCCCAGCTTCTTACTTCCCTGACTTCCTTGACTTCTTCCCCCTACAAAACCTGATTGGCTCCAGCTTTCCTAATGCAGCTTCCTAGCCTAGGAGCATCCTAGGAGCTCCCAGATGCCTGTAGTGGGTGCCTCTCTGACTTGGTGGCTGCCTGAGACCACTGGAAGAGCCATATCCTGATGACAACATACTGATCAGATACGTTTTGTGTTTCCAGATGAAGATGATGGAAGACAGAAAAGCTGAGTGTTACTGTAACTTTGCGGTTTATCCTTGCTGTGTTAGGGCAAAGTAAATATCCCCCATTTGGTGACTCATTTCTCAATGTTGAACGTGAAGTAAGAGGGTTTTAAGCTGGCTTTAAAGCTAAGCTTACAACAATTGGGGAAGCCATTTCCGAGTGACCTGAACTTCTCTGGCAAGTGAACTCATTTACTCAAGTAAAACAGTAGACAGAAGACAGGGAAATCATATAGAATAGAATAGACCAAAGAATACACAATAGTAAAGGAACTCTGGGAGTGAAATAAAACATCTCGGCTGAACCAAGGGAAGAGATTGATTTTACTGTTGGATTCTCTAGCATTTCAAATGCTGAAATTTTTAAGGAACATTTTGGGGAACTAGCTTCCCCCTACCTGTCAGTAAATCTAAGGGTCCAGCAGCCATTCAAAAATTCCTGTTTGCTTCTCAAACTTCCTGTCTCAAAAGTCCTTCTCCAAAGTGCATCCTCCAATAGTTTCCTCACAATTCTCAGAATTGTACGAAATGTTGTGCTCAGTATTCTCTCAGCTAATTAAGAGTCACATCTCCCTTTGCTTATATAGCATGACATTTATAGGGTTTATACCTCAGAAAAACCGATTTAGGCTTGGCAGAAGTAAGAATAAACATAAATCTTGTGTGTATATTAGTAGATGGACTCCAAGTTATTTTATACATTCTATAATTATTTTGTAAGGAATTCCTCTTTCTCCAGGGCTTTGCTGATAACATAACATTGTTCTAGGCTGGGCCTGACACACCAATCTCCTGGAAGTTAAGATTTGATTTTGGAACAAAATGAGACACTTGTTGGTAATTCAACAGTTAGCAAAAAGTCATTTACTTAGCCATAGCAGGGACATATTCAACAAAAATAGATATTGAGAATATTTTAATTTTATCAATTTAATGGTGGTGTTTTACTTTTAATTTTGTTAATCCTTTCTTTAATCTTCATAATTTCCATTTAAAAATTTTTTTAATCTGTTCCTTTTCTAGTTGCATGCCCAATGTAATGCAATGGCCTGTTCTTTCCCTTTATTTAACGAAAATGTTTATAGAAATCAATTTTCTCTTAAGAACTGCTTTGGATGTATCTCAAGCTTTTGTTTGTTATGTCATTTTCTTTGATGAAACTAATCTTTGCTTCTATGATTAGCTCTTTGACCTACTAATTTTTTAGGATGAAATTATTTAGTTCCATTTAAATCTGAATACTTTCTTCAAATGCTATTTATCATCATTTTATTGTGTTATGATTAGTAAAATATGTGTTTAATTTTTCTGGATTTATGAGGTTTTATGCTCTAGCACATTTCAGTTTTTGTAAAGGTGCTACAAACTGCAGAGATATATGTATGCTCCTTTCTATTCCCATTCAGTAATTACCAGAGGTCAATCATATCATTTTATAGAGGTGCTATTCAAACATTTAACTTCTCTCGTTTATCTTGTTAGATTTATTTAGGTTTGAAAGGGGTACAACTATAATTTTGTTTTCTATTTCTTCCAGTAATTCAATTAACTTTTCCTTTAAGTACTTAAATGCTATGCTATTCAGTACATATATTAAGTATGGATAGCATTTAGTTTAAGCTTAATGTAGTTTCTCTGTTTGTCTCTTTTGTCAATGTCTTATCTGACTCTTACTACCATTGACTGACATCATGATTGCCATCTCTGCTATTCCGAGTTCATCTGAAGCATAATAAATCCTGCTACAGTTTCTCATTGTATCTGTGCAAATCTTTATATTTCTTTCTTTTTTTGTAAAAAACTTTTTGTTGGATTTAACTTTCTATTCCATTCTGCTTTCCTCTTCTAGTTTATGGGTAAGTTCATCCAATTTATGTTCATGGTTATCAAGACTTAATAGTCAAGTCAAATCAACAAGCATTCATTAAGTGCCTACAAAGTGCCAGATACTACGCTAAGTTCTGGGGATACAAATAAATGCAAAAAGAAAAAATCCCTTCACTCAACAGAGCTTATACTCTGGTGGGATTAGGCTGCTAACGCACAGTACCCAGGCCAGAGGATGAAGGATGGCTCTTTACCTTCATCATATTCTCCTTTAATCCTCTATTATATCCTCTCTTTGCACACATACACCCCCAGAAGAAAAGGATGGCTGGGTGGTTCACTGGATAGAGTGCTGGCCCTGGAGTCAGGAGGATCTGAGTTCAAATCTGGCCTCAGACACTTACACTTACTAGCTGTGTGACCCTAAGCAAATCACTTAGCCTTGTTTGCTTCAGTTTCCTCATCTATAAAATAAGCTGTAGAAGTAAATAGCAAACTACCTCAGTATCTTCACTAAGAAAATTCCAAATGGTGTCACAAAGAGTCAGACATGACTAATCAACTAAACAACACGAACAACAGAGGAAGAAGGAAGAGAAGCAACATAAACAACAGTATTGCTCTAAACTGTAGTTGTCTGATTCCATTCCACTGCTTCTCCTTTCTTCATCTCATTCAGACTCTGATCACTCTCTCACTCTATCTTTCCCTTTAATCTTCTCTTTATAATACCTGTCACCCACTGTTTTTTAAATGTTTTATGTATTTTTATATCACCAAAATTTTCCTCAGTATTCTTTATCTGCCTTATCTCATATAATATCTCATATAATAAAATATAAATTAATATTATCTTATAATCTATATTGTGTATCTATACACATACATATACACATATATACAAATACATACATATCCACATATGTATGCAAGTGTATGTGTATAAAATCTGCTGAGAATTGCAGAGGACAGAATGCCGGGCTTGGAGTCAGGAAGATTAATCTTCCTGAGTTCAAATCTGGCCTCAGACACTTACTAGCTTTGTGATGTTGGGCAAGTCACTTAAACCCTGTTTGTGTTTCAGTCCCTCATTTGTAAAGTAAGGTGGAAAAGGAAATTGCAAACCATTCTAGCATCTTTGCCAAGAAAACCCCAAATAAAGTTAGGAAGAGTCAGACACAACTGAACAACAACAACATTCAATACGTGTGTATTTACACATACATATATACTTATACATATACTTAATATAATTTTTATTTTATATGTATATATATTTATATTTAAAGAAAAAAAGAAAGAAGAGTCTCATATCCATACTACAGAAAAGAACAGAATTAGAAAAACCTCCCAAGTCTGGAATCAAGACAATCATACTTTTAATCAGTATTAACTACACCTATTTGTATTAGGACATTCTACTAGATTTTTAGAAGATATAAAACTAAAGTTAGCCTGTTCATCATTTCTTATAACACAATAGTATTCCATTACACTTATATACCACAACCTGGTATATAAATTTTTTTTCTGGTAGCTCCTCCTATTGGTTCTAATTCTTACTTACAACATCACTAATGTGAAAATATGTTTAATAGGAATGTATATGTATAGCCTATATCAGATTGTGGTCCATCTTGGGGAGGGTGGTGGGGAGGAAGGGGGAGAAAAATTTTAAACTCGAAAGCATATTCGAGTGATTGTTAATAAATCAAAATAAATTAATAAAAAAAGAATAAAGGACAACAGTAAATATATATATATATGTATATATACATGTACATATATATATGTATATATAATATATATATATATATATATATATATATATATATATATATATATATATATATAATATGAAAACTAGAGGACCCGGCTCTTTTTTCCCTCCAGAAATTCACCCAGAAAAATGGCCACAAGGAGGCCTATTGAGGGAACAAATTTCCAAAAGCACAATGAAACAAAGAGCTCCATGTCTCCACATCTCCTCCTGCAGGCTCACATTGGTCGGTACCGTCTGTGAAATTCTTTATACATCTTTTATCTCAAAGCACCACTTGCAGATGCAGAGCGAGGCTTCAAAAATAAATGAAAACGAAGAGGCTAGGACTCACTCTTTGCCTTATCTAAAACTAGGGAGTTAGACTAAATCAGGGATCCTTACACTTCTTTCCGTAGGACTCCTCAGAATGTTTTAAATCAAACCATCATCATCATCATCATCATCATCATCATTGATGATATTTAGAGTAATAAAAATATTTTTTAAAAAGCAAGTTCACTTACAGGAAAATAGAAGGGGAAAGGGATAAGAGATAGAAGGGAGAACAGACTGGGTGAAAGGGGAATCAGGATGCAGGCCGTCATGGGGTGGGGGAGGGGAGGGATGGGGAGAAAATTTGGAGCGCAACATCTTGTGGATGTAAATGTTGAAAACTAAAAATAAATAAATAAGTTTTGGGGGGTAGCAAGTTCACGGACCCCACGTAAAAAACTCCCGGACGAGATGGAATCTAAGATTCTTTCCCGATCTATATCCCACGGGAGCCTCCCTCCCCAGTCTCCCACTGCGTCTCCCAGGGATCCAGCCACACCGGGTACCAGCCCAGGCAGATCGTTGGCGCATGCGCGCGCATTCCCACCTCTCCGCGAGCTCTACGGGCTGGGGAGATTCTCGCGAGAGCTGTCAGCAGCCCCGCCAGACACAAACAGAACCCGCGGGAGCCTCGGATTCCGGGGACGCTCCTCCCCGGAGGATAAAGAGATCCCCGTTCTCTCCCCCGGTATATTCCAGCGAAGCCCGAGGGCGGGGCCCGATGGCCGGGGCCGCGCCGCCCTGGAGCCGGCTGGACAAACAGCAGGACCGGGACGTGCGCGAGCTGATCCGGCGCGTGAGCGGCCTCCAGGACGAGGCGGACAGCAACTTCCAGCTGGCCCTGCACTTCGCCTGGAGCAATTTCAGGTCAGCGCCGGCCTTCTTAGCGGGTCTTCACTCCCCTCCCCGCCCCCTCGCCCCGGCCTTTTGCTGTTACCGCTAACCTTCTGGGCCACCATAGGCGCGGGCAGGTACGGAAGCCCGGCTTGGAGCGTCTTTTAGATCTTCCCTGGATCTGCCCTCCTGCTGGTGTCCCGATCTCTGTTGGCCCTTCCGGGCCACCATAGTCCCCCGTGCTCCTCGCGGCTGGTGGGGTCCGGGCCTCCCCCTTCTCCGTGGACTAAGACGAGGGACCGGGTAGGGGTCGGGCAGAGCCGCGGGACTGGACTGGGCGATTCCTTTCGGGGTGGCATCTTCGGGCACCCGCGGGGCTCAGTTTCTTCCAGAAGTTCGTACGTGTTTATTTTTTGTGTCCTGGTCGGTGGCCGTCCAGTCACCAAAGGACCCCACGATTGGGAGAGTTACCCGAGCTCCAGGGCCAAGGAGCCGGGGTAAGGGGTCTTTATCGACTTTGTACAGCGCCCTGCCCACACGGGGTTAGCCGGCAAAGCGGCGTCCAAACAAAGTAATCATTTGTAATAGTGACAGTCCATCTTTGAATGATATTTTAAACTTTTCAAAGAGTGTTTTACATCCATCTTCCCATTTGGTCCTCAAAACTACCCGGTGACGTAAGCTAGGCAAGTGTGTTCTGCTTCTTATTTATAGTGAAAGAATCCGAAAGTGGTGGTACTAGCCCCAAGGCTACAGAGGTTTGGTTTTGTTTGTTTGTTTTGGTTTGGTTTTTTGCAGCAAAGATAGGACTGCAACTTAGGTCCTGTTCCTTAGTGTTTTCCTTCTATTACACTGCCTCCGAAGTATCCTTTTCTCCCACAAGCATTTTCATTTTGCCACTAATTTGCAGATAATCCTATAACTTTCCTTAAAATCTTTTGACTCAAAAATGATTATGCGTAGAGTAAATAGCATTTTGAACTAATCGAGCAGATGTCATTAGGGACATCTATATTCTACTCTTCATGAACTTCAGTGTCTAAAGGCCGGGAGATTTAGCAAACACAACCAAGACACTGAACGTTTTTTCTTAGTAATCACTATGTAAATGTTAGCTATTACTATTACTAATTACTATCTTGTGGGTACCTTGTTATATTTGAGGAGAAGTGGTGTACTAGGCAAACAGAGTAAAAGTTGAATTATTTTTTCTATTTAAGGCAGACTTTGTAGAGGAAATGACCTTTGAACAATAATTAGGAAGATAAGAAATTATCTGGTATTTATCAAGTCCCTATTTTGTGCCTATAACCAACAAAGCTATGTGATAGGTACAAAAGTGCAGTGTAGACTCCCAGCCCTTGAGGAGGTTGCTGTGTTGAGGGGGAGACAAGATATGTATATGAAACAACTAGGATACAGTATAGGAGAGTAAATGTGTGCCACAGTTTGTGATTGTTTTATAGACTTTTCTGATAAGTGGAATTAAGATAAAATCATCTTAACTGGGCTCACTTTTGGAAACAGATTGAACATTAAAAGTCTCCTAATTCAATCTTATTTTCAATCTCAATAATATGTTGAGATTGAAATAGGAACTTTTGGCATTCTTTATGGATAGTTAAGAATCTTGGGCATTTTTTTAAAACAGTTACCAGTAAAGGGAAATACCAATTTAAATTAACATTTAGTAACAGAAACTTTCAAGAATGTTTTCTCATTAAGCAGTTAGACTGTTTATTCAGAGTCCTATGTTTTAGTTAGCCTCATTAGATCAAAACTCAAGTTACAGTGAGAGTATTGTTGCTCTTTGTTATTTCTCCGAGAGCACCATGACATCAGGAAGGTGATGTTATGACTTCCAGGTGAGTTGGATTTGAGTGAAGCAGGGCTGTGCAAAGTCACCAGGCTCACTCTCTCTCCTCTGGAGCCATGTGGGTCCAGTGACAAGATATAGGTCAGGACAACTGGAGATGGCCCCAGATGAAGTGGAAAACCTTGGCTTTTTGAAGCTAAGGTCTTTCCCTGGTCTCAGTTTATCTAAGGCAACACCCATTCAGTGATTAAGGCTAGGTAAGAAATGAGGTAGAATGGCCACTTTTACCTAGTGAAAAGAAAATCAATCTGGGAAGGGAAAACTCTCTGAGTTTCTGACCAAAACAGAAACAATTGCTATTTACATTCACTCGGAGCCATTAAACCCAAACGATGACTAAGTGACGCTTGGGCTAGGTAGGACCTGTTGTTGCCCAATCAATGAGAGCCAGAGTGATTTGAGTTTAAGGCATGGTCATTAAAGAAATCTAGTCTGTAAACCCCCAAATATCCTTTGGGTTTTCAGCAATCAAAATTTACATTCCTTTGGGCAGAGTACCCGCAGGTAAGGGTATTGTTGTGGTTTCATGGTGTGTTGTGGCAGTACTGTCCCAAAGAATCCAGGGTCAGACCACTTCTGATCCAAGTGTAGGTATTTATTTATTGAAGCCCTTCAAAAGTGGGCTAGGTTCCAAGAGAAATCAGCAAGAACTACAAGAACACACCTGTTGAAATATGTGACTTGGATCTGGGAGCAGTGGCTAGCTAGGGGCAGTGACTGTATTGAGTCTGGGGGCTGGTGGTGTGGTTATGCCAGATTATGTGGTTAAATCAGGACATGCTTGCTGTTCAGTGGGGCTCGTAAGGAAATTAGAATATTGGGGCTGGGGGCAGATTTATTAGGATTCCATCAGTATGATTCCCTATGTGGACAGAGGGAGATAAGGGGAGGACAGAAGACAGGCATTGTACTTTGTACCGACAATAAAAGAATTTAAAGTTTTGAAATAATAAAGTGGACTCCTATTGTAACTTAGAAAACACTACAAAGTTTGAAATATCTCATATTGGAGAAATAGAATTTAAAATGACATAGCCCAAGGGAATTGGCTTTTATCTTATTATAGGCTGGCTTCTGACTTATGATGTTCATGTCACTTATAAATGGCTTTCCAGAAATAAGGGGGCCAAATGCCACTTACAGAGATGCACTTTCCCTCCCAGCTGCCAAAATTTGGAATTTTCCCTCTTCTTTTCCTCTTGGATGGTAAAGCCCTTACTTTGCTGTGTGACCAATAAAAAAAAAGATGAGTTTCTGGGTAATTAATAATCAATTTATTAATTAGGCTAGCTGGCAATCAATAAATTGATGGTAAGTGTTTTTTCTTGGTAATCAAAGACAAACCCATAGAAAGCCTGAAAAGGAATGCTCCTGGCAAGTGAAAAATCAATCCTGATTGGTGGACATTTAATGACTAGGTGGGCTGGAAGTCTTCACCTCTTTCTGCTGAGAACTTGGCTTGATGGAGACACAGCCGCATCCAGCAATCTAGACAGGGGAATCCATCTCCATCCAGATCACTCTGGTTGGTCATGAGCTGGGTCACCCTAAATTCTAATGGAGAAGTACAAGGAGAGGAACTTCTTTTCCTGGGGTAAGAACTTGCCCAGACTGGATTCAGTTTATACTGTAAACAGAAGTAAGGTCTCCTAGTTGGGTGAGATCTTGCCCAAGATTGAAGACCATGTACCTTGAGAGCTAGACAACTAGGGGCAATCACATCTATCAGAGACATATTTTTTACAGGAGCTGGACCTTAATAGGAAATACAGGAGAAAAGCCTGGATCCAAATTTAATTAAGTAGTTATTAATATAATAGTAAAATAATATTTTCTCTCAGCTGCCTGAGGGTCTTAAAAAGGAAGGAAGGAAGGAAGGAAGAATGGATGGATGGATGGATGGATGGATGGATGGATGGATGGATCCCTTTCCCTGTGTTTTACAGTTAAGTGCCTGAAAGGTCTCTAATTTCGTGAGTGTATGTCCTTCCCTGATAGAATTTAGCATTTCTTAATAACTTGTAGCTAGTCTTCTAGACTTGTCATGTTGAAAAATTGTATCACCTTGTGGCCAACCTGGTAAAGAGCTTCTCCAAACTAAACTAGGCTAGTCTTTGGGAAACAGATATGTAAGCAATCAGTTGGTCCAAGTTTAAAATCTTTTCAACTTGGTAGGGCCTAACAGAGTTTTGCTTTTCTGGCATAGCCTTAGAGAACCCAGGATTACTTTTATGCCACCACAAGGCATTAGAGAGGACTTCAGTGGAGGATGCAGTGCTTTTGCTATAAAAAGAGAAATTTATTCACTTAACCCAATTGCCTCACCAAAAAAAAAGGCAAAAAGAGAATTAAAGGACCTTCTAGCCCAGCATCTCTATATTAAAGTTGTAAAAATTGACTCATTTCATTCCAGTACTAGTTCAAAGGAAATGGCAAACAAAAGAATAAACCTTATAACTATCCTTCACATTCCTCCACTTTCCATTCCTCTGTAGATTTTTGTAGGTAGCATTCCTAGCCCAGGTTTCATTTCCTTATCCCTGTGTCTGTCTCTTTGTTCCCATCCAAGTTGTGTCTTGTGTGGAAAAATTTATGAAGACTGTAGCACTCACTCAATCTGGATGTCCCTCTGAAATGATAGTAGTCTCTATTTAATCTGTGTAATCAGAGAATATCTGTATTTTTCACAAGAAGGTTTAAGTAAAAAAGGATAAAGTGGGATAGAAGGGTCATTTTTACCCTTTTTCTTTTTCCTCTTCTCTTCCCTTAATAAATGCTTGTTGAATTAGCTTACCTAGCCTTGGATCCTTTTTTTGTTAGCCCAGCCTCTGAGCAATCTCAGTCTTGCTCCCCTATTCTAAATAAAATGGAAGCTCTTAGCTTTGTAAAGCACTTAGCATAGTGCCAGGCACATAGTAGGCATTATATAAATGCTAGTTATTATTTTTTATGTTATTATAATATAATGTAGTTCTATGTTATTAATTGTAAATATTCTATGCTTTCTTATTTTTCTTTTGTATTCTCTCCCTTGATTTAATTTACTCCAAAGGGTTCAATAAATACAATTCCTCTATGCAGATGATGAGGCAGTTAGGTAGCACAGTGGATAGAGTACCATGCCTAGCGTAAGGAAGATTTATCTTTCTGAGTTTAAATCTGGCCACAGACACTTCCTAGCTGTGTGTCACTGGACAAATCACTTCACCCTATTTGCCTTAGTTTCTTCATTTGTAAAATGAGCTGAAGAAGGAAATAGCAAATCACTCCAGTATCTTTGCCAAGATAATCCCAAATGGAGTCATAAAGAGTCAAACAAAATGCACATGATTGCCAATTCTATATATTCAGCCATAATCTCTCCTCTGAGCTTCAGTCTCCCAGTTCCAACAGTCTGATGGATATGTCTACTGAGTGACTTACTGGTTCCTTAAACTCAACATTTTCAAAACTGGACGAATCATCTTTCTCTCTAGATCTGTTTTTCCTCTTAATTTCGCTATTTCTCTTAGTGGCACTATTATCTCCCCAGTCCTGAAATCTTGGAGTATTCTTTAATTCATTTCTTTCCTTTTTAGGGTAGAGCTTGAATTAGTAGCTTTGTGAGCAGAGAGAACATGATGATCTGCACTTTCCCTCCATCTAATCAATTGCCAAATCATGCCTATTTTGTCTCTTGTAGGTCTTATTTTCTCCATACTGCTTCCACCCTATATCAGGTCTCCATTACCTCACACCTATGTGATTGTGATAGCTTCCAAGTTGGTCTCATTTCTTTCCTATCTATTCCATTCTTCACATAGCTATGAAAATAATCTTCCTCTGACCATATCACTTCCCTGCACAAAAACCTTCAGTGATTGCCTGCTGCCTAAAGCAGAGATTGACAAATCAGAGGACCATCTCTTCCTGCTTCTTGGTTTTGTATGGTCATTGAACTAAGAAAGATTTTTACCTTTTTAAATACAATAAAACTGTCAAAAATGTAAAAACTCTTAGCTTGGCTGGCTGGGCTTACAGAAATAGACATTGGCTGTAGTTCCCAACCCCTGGCCAAAAGGATGTAATACAAATTCTACAGCCTGGTGTTTTTGTAGAGCCCTCTGCTGTCTGGCTCCAGCCTAGCTCTAGCTCTATTTTACATTGTTTTTCTATATTTGTATATTATTTTCCTAGCACTTAATGGTGCAGTTAAACTGGACTTAATGCTCCTAATCGTAATCCTTCTGTCTCGTCTCTTTAAATTCACACAAACTTTCCATCACACCACAATACTTCTTCCTCTTCTCTGTACTTTAAAACCTTTCTTTTTCTTCAGAGCTAGACTCAAGTTTTCCATGGCCTTTCCTGGTAACCTCAGTTGAAAGTGTTTTCTCTCTCATCAAGTATTACTAAAGCACAGTGTCTGGTCATCTTCCTTGTCCCATCACATACTATCTTGTGCTATACTTATCTCAGTGTATGTCACAGAATCATAATATATCAGATTTAGAAAGGAGCTCACTGGTTACCTAGCATAGTCTGTGCTTGCACAGAAATTTTCTATGCTGTCTGTAATAAGTAGTTACTTAGTTTCCACTTGAAGACTTCCAGTGCAGTAGAAACCCTAGTAGATTGAACGTTTTCTGAAGGCTCCGAACTGTGTTGTTTTTCATATTTGTATCACTATTGTGTATTATAGTATTTTACATATCGTTAATTTTTGTTGAGTTGAATTGAAATAAAAAATATGTTGAGGAAAGTGAACTTTACCAACGCCTTTCATCCATTGGTGAAAAAATGGTGACAAATACTTATATTTTGCTTCCAAATTTACATTTCAGCTAGACTTTTTATGCAGATGTGATAAAATTGTCGTGAGTAAATGGTTTTTTTTTTCAATTTCATTTAGATTTCATCGTTTCCTAGATGTAAGCAGTCATAAAATAGAGAGGACAATAGAGGGGTAAGTCATTGTGTGTGTGTGTATTCCAGTACTTTAGGGATCTATGGGTATTTTCTTCACTAATGCAGGTCACAATCCCTCTGTGTCTCAGTAGATAGTTATCATGAATTTCTGTGGCCAAATTTTGTTGTGGCCAGCCTTCTGGTGATAAGCTTTTCTGAACTTTGTTAAGATGAGCCTTAGATGACAAATGCAGTCTCTTGCTAGGCTTACATCCTGAAAGGACTTAACAGAATTTACTTATCTCTTGGCATTGCCTTTGAGAATCTAGAGTTCCCAATATACTTTGATAAGATACCTGATTAAGACAAGAATAGAGAACATGTATGTGTATTCAGCCTAAATACTTTTGTTAATACATTTCCTTTGAAATATCAGTTATCTTTTGTTATTTTAGAATTTATGAAAAGCTCATCATTCATTCAGATCTCAGCAAAGCTGCCAGTTGGAAGAAATTAACTCAAGAGTTTCTACATGCATCACTTCCAAGTACTAAGGAAGCAAAGGTATATTATTAGAAAAAAGTTCCGTTGGGGCGGCTAGGTGGCACAGTGAATAGAGCACAGGCCCTGAAGTCCGGAGTACCTGAGTTCAAATCCGGCCTCAGACCAAACACTTGACACTTACTAGCTGTGTGACCCTGGGCAAGTCACTTAACCCCAATTGCCTTAAAAAAAATGTAAAAAATGTAAAAAAAAGTTCCATTCTGATTACCTTCATCTTGTTACTATTAACCTTTAAGCACTCAAAGTATTCTGAATACATTACACATAAGAAAGCTCAGCCTCTAGTTTTCAATTGATCGATTAATTGATTATAGCAGTATGCTGTTTGGGAAAGAACACTGGATTTGGAATCCGAAGACTTGGATTTAAGTCAGCTCTTGTTATTATCGGTGACCTCGGGCAAATCACTTTCCTTTTCTGAGTATCTGTTTCCTCATCTTGCATTTCTTGTTATGAGGAAAGTACTTTGTAAACCTTGAAATAGTATATAAAGTGTGGTTATTGTTATACACATGTGAATTGACTATTTCAGTTACACTTAGTGCAGTTTATGCTTGTGATAAAAACAAATATTTTATTTGGCCAGTCATTTGCCCCACAAATAGAATTCAGAGCCTAGAAGAAGTCAATAACATTGTGTAGATAACTTTAAAATATGTGTTGAAATTACTTGATGGCATTTGGTTGGCTTTCCCAGAATCACAGAATTTGAGATTTGGAGGGGATCGTAGCAATCATTTGGTCCAACCCATATATGACAAGCAATTTCCATTGTAACATACCGAACAACTGGTTGTCCAGTCTTTGCTTGAAATCCTCAAAGGAAGGGAAGCATACCATTTCTTAAGGTACCACATTCCATTTTGGCACAGCTCTAATTGTTACAAAGTTTGTATTGACATTAAATCTGGATTTGCTTTTTTGTAATTCCACACATTTCTCCTTCTATAACACAGACTCAAGGCCTTTTATCATCTAGGTTGCCTTTCTCTAGGCATTCTCTTTCTTAATCCATGGCACTCTGAACATTAGAGGTTCAGAAGAGACCTCCAGACCTCCAAAAAAGGTCTAACAAGGGCATCGTATAATAAGACTACCACCTCCCTATTTATGGAAGATGCTTCTCTGATTGTAGCCCAAGATCTCATTAGTTTTTCTTGGCTGCTATATCATGCTACTTATTCATAGTGAGTTTTTCGGAATAATTGCTGTCTAGCCATGCCTCCCCAGTCTTATACTTGTGAAGGTGATTTTTTTTTATATCAAGTGAAAGACTGTATGTATCCCTCTTGAACCTCATCCTGTTAGATTCTGCTAAGCAATCTAGCCTGTCATGATCCTTTTGGATCCTGACTCTGCTGTCTACTATATTACCTTTCCCTTTGACTTTGTGTCATCTCTAGATTTGATGAGCGTACTTTTAATCCAGTCCAAAAATACTTTTATCCAAGTTGTGGATAAGAATGATAGCAATTGAAGCACATATCCCCATAATATTCCACTGAAGACCTCCTCACATGTTGACATTGAATAATTAACAAATGGCCTCTTTGAGTCCAGCCATCCAACCATTTCTGAATTCTTTGGATTTTATTATTGCCTAATACATATCTATCTTCTTCACAAGAATAATATGAAATAATCAAAAGCTTTGCTAAAATCTAGGTAAACTATATCTACCACATTCCCCTTATCTACTATTTTAATAATCCTTAACTATTTCTCACCTTGGGAATAGGGAAGAGACCAGGATGTTTCTTCTCCACTATAGAAGCAAATTGAAAATCTAAGAGGATTTTAGGAAACAGGGTGAGTAGATAGGGTAGGGAATACAGTTGGGAAAGAAGGTATGGCTTACTATCATTTTGAACTCTAAGAGAGAAGTAAGTTCCTTTCTGTTATTTATTTGTCATTACACACTGGGAGAGATTCAGACCTATTTAAATTATCTACTTGCTGTGTGATTTGGGAGATAGTAGCACTTAAATAACTATGAAATAAAGTTATTAAAAGGACATTCTGAACTGGGACAACATAATGTGGTAGAACACTAATTCGATTTGGAATCCAAAGACCTGTGTTTCAGGGATGGCCCTGCTTTTTGTAGCTTTGTGACTTTGGGCAAATTTCTTAATCCTCTGTGAGCATCAGTTTCTTCACCTGTAAAATAGGAATAATAGTACATGGAGTATAGATAAATAATGTGCCTAAAGTTTAGAAATTGTCTTACTGACAATATGAACTATGGATGACTGTGTAAATTTTGGCTAAAGAGAAAGAATAAGAAACTGTAATTTGAAGGTTAATCTCAATACAAAACCTCACAGGTTTCACCAAAATTTGAAACAATAGAAGTTACTAATAACAGGAACTATAAGCAATGGGTAGCAGTTGCAGGAGGCAGATAAAGGCTTGCTATTAGTGATGATGTACTAACAGTTAGGGTTATCCTAAAGAAGAATGAGCTGTCTCAGGAAGTAAGTTCTTCCTTATTGGAGGTCTTGAATCAAAAGTTGCATGACCATTTATTGTGTATCTTTTAGATGGAATTTTTGTCAGATATTGGTTGGACTAAATGGCCAGTTAGTTTCCTTCCAACTCTGAAATCTAAGAATCAATGTTTAGAAGTTGGTAGTTGTTATAATATTATTAAGGTTAATGTTATCTTAGAAAAATAAATTTGGAGAAGAGTATTACATAACCATCAGAGGTTGGGTTTTTATTCACTTAAACTGGAATTTAGTTTTAAATGTTGTGTTTTAATAACGCATCTTATTCACTTGTTTTAAAGACAGATACACATTATGCAATATTGTCACTCCTTCTGTGTCTTTCTGATTCTCCTTCAAACACCAATTATGTGGAAAAGCCAAGAGAAAAAGAAGTGGGTAAGTTACATGAAGATTTAATATAGCATTAGAAGAGGACTTTTGTGAAAGTTCAAATATTGTATGAAATGTGTCTTGAAGATATAAAAATTATAATGTAAATTAGAAGCTGTAGAAGTGAGTGGTTTTTTCTATATTTGTTTATTGAAAGTCTTCGTTCTTGGATTTTGCATTTCTTGATGTATGTTACCTTGAAATTTGTATGATTTCTTCTTTCTAGATTTAGGATTTTTCTGAGAAGGTTAATAATAAGCAAAATTATGTTGTGTCTTAGAAAAGAAAGAAGAATTTGACTGGGGAAAATACTTGATGGAAGGTGAAGAAATTGAATTGGGTCCAGATGCAGATACACCAGTAAGTTATAGTAATTTTGCTGTGAAATACTTCAATATTTGCCAGAGAAGATACAAATCTTCTCTGATGTAACCTCCTACAGTGGGTTGGTTGTTTTACTTATTTATTTATATCCCGACGCCTTCCAAGAAAGGTTTTTAAGAAGCTACTCTTCTCTTTTTGGGGAGCTTCTGCTCTCAACAGAAGCAGAAATCTTCTTGTTATACCACTACATAAATAGTAAGGTTTGCTAAGTTCAAATAATAAGTGCCTTTGGAGTTTGAGTAGGATAAATGTTAAGCTAGCTATCTTATCTGAGAACCCTTTTTTGTAACTAAACAGTTTGGTAGGAATATTGTCACAAAAAAGGTTGTTCCACCTTGATATTGAAAAGTCTCTGGCCATTATCAGATTTACTTTTATGAACTTTAAGAAAGAAGCAACATTATTAGCATAGTTCTTCTTTTGGTATATTCTCAAACTAGTTCACTTTTGTTTAAGTAGCTCTAGTTTTCTTACTATTTACTAAAAGTAAGCTCTGTTAACTTATTTGATAGAATTGGTCTGAAGAAAGTGAAGATGATGATGATGATGATCAGCAACCTCTTAGTAGAGAAGACTCTGGGATTCAGGTGGATAGAACACCATTAGAAGAACAAGATCAAAATAAGAAAATAGTACCTCAAGTCAGTTGGAAAGGTAGTATAAAGTTGGAAATGCCATCTCTAATAGAGAGATTACCAAACAAAATATCAAACTTTAAAATGTATCTCAAGTTCATGTATTTCTTTATATTTTCAAAAGCTCCTTTAAGCATTATGAGACCTTTAATTTTATGTGACTTAAAAGCAGCACTGCATAATTTACATTAAAAAGGAATATTTATATGACATTTGGTTCTTTGATTTTTTTAATAAATATGTAAGTTTTCCTTTAATTTTCATGGGAGGAGGTACAGAATTTAAGGTTGAATTTTTCTAGGTTAGGTTAAATTCGTTCTGATTTAAGCAAAAAGAAAATTAGTTTAATTTCTTCTTTAACTTGTCATAAAATCATATCACTTTTGAGCTGATGTGGGCCTAAGAGACCATTTCTTCCAACTCACTCATTTTATAGATGAGGAAAGTAAGGCCTAGAGAGCACGCCTAATGACTTACCCAAAATCACACAACTAGTTAATGGCACTAGAATTGAAGTTTGCTTACTCCTAGTATTTCCATTTTTATTAGCCTTTCTAGGTTGGATTGAAAATTTTTTGACGTTCTTTCAGAAAATATTTGTTGAATATTTCCAAGGCACTGTGATAGATGGAAGGGAGGAATAAAACATGGTTCCTGATCTCTTGGAGTTTATAGACTAATAGGAGAAAGAAAAAAGACACATTGTCATGTGATATTTCAGTAAGAAAGGCATAAAATGCTATAGTATTTTAGAAGGAGAGTTGTTTCTAGGTGAGGGTGATCAAAGAAGTTTTGATGTAAGAGAACATTTCAGCTATATCTTGAAATAAATTGTTTTTGAGGCTGGGGAAAGACATGCTAGGTGGAAGGAATTGCATGCACATGGGCATCAGGAGTGAAAGGTATATTAACACAGCCATATAGTTTAACATGTTGGGAGGAGAAAGCTAGAGAAATGTAATTTGGGCCAAATTATGCAGGGCCTATGAAACCTATATCTTAATGGATGTAGAGGGAGGTAGGTAATAAAAACCATTGAAGGTTTTACAGCAAAGGACCAGAGCAGATGAGAAGAGAATTTTTAAAATCTTTGGATGTTGATTTTTTTTTTTTAGCATTTCTTTCACTTCTTGATGTCTCCCTTTCCTCCACTCTTGGATCTTTGCTTTGTAACAAAGAAGTACAGTTAAGCAAAACACATGGACACATTGACTATGTCAGAGATGTGTTTGGTTATAGTTAGATTAATCTTGAAGCATTGTATAGAATAGATTAGAGATGGAAGAGACTGGAGGGCAGGAAACAAGGTAGGGAAATATTTCAGCAATATAGGTAAACGTGGACTGGACTACAGTGCTGGTTGGGAAGGGATAGTTACCTCTATGGAAGTAAAAATGATAGGATTTAGACTTTGATTAAGATGGAAGTAGGACAGAGGGCCACAGATTAATCAGATGTTTCAGCCTTTGTAACTGGCTCCATAGTGTCGTTAACAACTCTGCCTTACATGCAGAAGGTCTTGAGTTTAAAACTCAATTGAAACCATGGTTATCCATTTTGAGGCAGCAGTTCTATATAAAGAGTGCTGGATTTGGAATCAGAAGACCTAGGTTTGAATCCTGGCTTGATTGTATAACCTTTGGTAAGTCACTTCACATCTTTGAACCTCAGTTTAGTCATCTATAAAATCAAGTTGGCCTAGGTGACCTACCTCTCATTCTGTGATCCTATGACTCCCACCATTTTATTGCTCTATTTTTGACACAGAAAAACGACAAAGTCAACTGTTCCTCCTCATTTTATTTCAAAATTAGAGTTTGTCATCATGGAGACAGATATTCTCAGTTGCACAGTAAACCAACCTTTAGCCAGACCAACTTGATTCAAAAGCACCTCCAAAAGTGCACAGGTGGTTGATAGCGCACACTGTGCAGTGAACATTGAAGTACGAGAACACTATGGTCAATTTTTTGAGGAAGTTTTTACAGAAATGGAAGAAATGCATGGTTAGGTTGAGAAGAGTATCTGTGATAACCTTGGGGATCATCTTGTAGGAAATGTATATGTAAAGTTTCATGATGAAGAAGCTGCAGAAAAGGCCCACCTTAACTTAAACATGGTTTAGTGAAGAGATAATTGATGCAGAGCTTTCTCCTGTAACAAGCTTCATAGAAGTCCGCTGTTGCTGCTATGAGAATGCACTCAGGGAGGCATCTATAAACTTGATGCTTCTGAAACCTTTCTCAAGAGAACTATAGCTGGAGTTGTATGGGCATCACTCTAAGACCATAAGTCCTGATCAAGATCTTGTGAATGTCATTCTTGGTTGAGACACAATTGTGGTTGTGGTGGTGGCTGCAGTGGTAACAAATTGGGGAAATTAATAGAGGAAAACTAAGAAGATGAGCACTTGGATGAGGGTGTTGACAATCAGTTTTCATAGAAAATAGTATTGCAATTAAATTTTTTTCTAGTTAACTGTTGAGAATTTATGGCCTTTTCATTTATAGAGACATCTTTTAATATTTCATAGTTTTCTTTTATTGGACTTTGAAATCCATGAAGGCAGGGATAATGTCTTATTCTTTTTGTACCATATGGTACCATGCGCACAATAGTTACTATTTGCTTATTTGTTGACTGAATCTTTTTAGCTCTGGCTAATGACATTTCATTGAATTTTGTATTTCATCACACTGAGATAGAGATATATATATATATATATATATATATAGATATAGATATAGATATAGATATAGATATAGATATAGATATAGATATAGATATATATATAGATATATATATATATTAAGCTATGTAACATTTGATTCAATTCAATAAATGTTTTTTATACTTGCTACGTGCAAGACACTATACTAGGTCTGGGGATACAATGACAAAACCAAAATGGTCTCAACCGTCAAGGAGCTTACTAGGGTGATGCAAGCTAGTATCAAAATAAGTAAATTCACAGTAATTTTAGGAGAGAAGGAAATATAGTAACTAGAGGGATCAAGAAAGGAGATGGCATCCAAAGTGTGCTTTGAAGGAAGCTTGGGTTCGAGAGATGAATGTAAGGAGGGAGTGTATTCCAGACATCGGAGACCATCTGTGCGGAGTCATGAAGGTGTGAGGTGTGAGGAACAATTAGCAGACTAATTTTGATTAGAATGGGGAGCGTGTAAAAGAAAATCACGTGAAATAAAGCTAGAAGGTTATGCAGGAGCCAAATTTTAAGTGCTTTAAGTGCTGGGCTGAGGAGTTGGTATTTTATTCTAGAAGGAACAGGGTGCAATTGAAGATTTTTGAATGGAATGCAGTGACATAATTATATCTCTGCTTTACATATTTCTCGTTATACAGAGGATAGATTGTAGAGGAAGAGAGACGAGAGACATGAGGGACCAATTCAAAGGTGTTGGTGTAGTCTGAATGAGAGGACATGAGAGTCTGAACTAAGCTATATAAATGGAGGGAAGGAGAGAGATATAAGATATTTTATAGGAGGTAAGCTTATAAAAACTGGGTAACTAATTTAGATATTGGACTTTAAGGTGACAGAATGGTTAAGGATGATTTCAAGGTTGTGAACCTTGCGTAACTGAAAGCATTGTCCACAGAAATAGGCTAGTTTGGAAGAAGGATAGTTTTTTGGGAGAAATGTAGTAGGTTATGTTTCGTACATCTTGAATCAGATATGCTTGTGGAACATGCAGGTGAAGATATTCAGGCACTTGGTAATGTAGGAATTCAGAAAAGAGATTAGGGCTGAGTGTACAGATTGGAAGTTGAATAGTTGAACCTGGGAGTTGTTGTTGTTCATCTTTTGTTTTCAAAGAGGACCAGTGGCATCACAGGGTGATGTCTTGACTTGCTCCCCAGTTGGATTTAAGTGAGGCAGAGTGGTGCAGTCATCGGCCTCCCTCTCTTTTCCTGAGTCATCAAAGTCCAGTGGCAGAACAAAAGTTAAGACACAGGACGCAGTGGGTGACCTTTGATGCCTGACCAAGCTGTCAGCACCCCGCAGCGCCTGCTTCAGCCGCCTTCATGGCCATTGGAACAAATTGTCCTCATCCACCCATTCTCCTGGGAAAAATCTCCACATGCTTGGGGTAGACATCCCCCCAACTCACTGGTGGGTTTGAAGCCTGTGTTAATGAAATCATGAAGAGAAAGAATGTCAAGAGAGAAGAGAAAAGGACCCAGGACACCCCTAATGGACAGGAGGAAGAGGACGATCCAACAAAAGCTGTAGAAAAGGAGCTTTCCGACAGGTAGAAGGAGACCAGGCCCAAGCACTGTGAAGCCATGGAAGAAGAGGGTCAAGGAGCAAGAGTGCTTAAACAGGGTAAAAAGCTACCGAGCAGTCTGGTGGCTGAGAAATGAGAAAAGGCACTACATTTAGCAGTTGAGATCATTAGTAACTCTGTAACATGACTGGTTTTTAGAAGGTGGAATGGAATATATGTGTAATGTTAGACTTGGAGTCAAGAACACCTGAGCTCATATCCTGCCTCTGATACTTTTAGCTTTGTGAAAATTGGACAAGTCATTTAACCTCTCTGAGCCTCAGTTGATTGGTAAAAATGAGTATAATGATAACTGTTTTAACTACATGACATGCAGCAGCTAGGTGGCGCAGTGGATAGAGCACTGGCCCTGAAGTCAGGAAGACCTGAGTTTCAATCTGGCCTCTGACCAAACACTTGACACTTACTAACTGTGTGACCCTGGGCAAGTCACTTAACCCCAGTTGCCTAATTTAAAACAACAACAACACACAAATCATACATGACATGTTGTGAGGCTCAAATGATATAACCTAGTTAAAGTACTATGTGTCAGTTATTATTTTTATTAAGAAACCATTTATTATACATTTAAATGATAACGTAGTTGCTGTTATAGAAAATTCAGTTTTCAAATATCTTTCCAGCTTGTGAACCAGATGCACGAAGTTGGTTGGAGCAACACGTTGTCCTTCAGTATTGGACGGCCAGACCCTCACGTTTCTCTCATAGTTTGCATTTACACTCTAATTTATCTTCTGTGTGGTAAGACAACAAAAATAGTATTAAAAATAATAATGGAAGTAACTTTCAATTGGATAGTTCTTGTTCATCTCATTTGAATTTTAATTGAGCTGTTTTGCTGTATAAAGACAGTACTCTTCAATTTATGCTTGTTTGAATTACTTCAGTTTTGGATTCTCGTGATTTATCTTTTCAATTCAATATGTAGATTATTTTATTGGCTTACTTTACCTTGTATACCAATCAAGAAAAATATATAAAGCATGTACTATGTGCCAGGTACTATGTTAAATGCTGGGCACTGTGGTCAGAATGAATGTAAAAATGAAAGAGCAGTTGTTGCTGGTGATGATGAGGAAGGTGGGCCACTCTTCCACAATGATTTATATTAATTTATTCCAAAACCATGGGATGAGAATGAAGTTTTTTGTTTTGAAGGAAGGAAAATGCAATGAAAATAAAATGAAAGTTTTTTTAAATAGCTGAATAGTATGTATTATTATTTATTTTGGCTATAAGGAAATATAATTATTATAACTTCTGAAATGACTGAATAGCTTTTCTAAAAGTATACTTATTGGCTTATGATTATGATTCTGGGTATTATTAACATTATAATTGTCACTATATTTACTTTCTTATTGTTCACTGGTTGTTACCACTAGGTGGCTCATAAAGTATAGGAGACGTATTCAAAGTAAAAAAAAATTATTCCCACCTTATTTTGTTTTAAAAGAAACATTTTATGTTAACAACAGATGTTTATGATCTTTTTAGGGATCAACACTTGTACAGTAGTGATCCATTGTATGTACCAGATGACAGAACCTTTGTTACTGAAACACAGGTTATACGAGAAACACTTTGGTAAGACTTATTTACACTAAATACGCAAATGAGCTAAAATTTTATAGTATGAGGAGCAGGAGCTAAGACTTTCCAAAGTTACCTAGAGGAATCACCTATCTAGCTAGGGGATAAATAATAATAATAATAATAATTATAATAATAACAGGATAATAAATCCTGGGGATTTGTCTGAGACACATTAAAAGTTAGTTACTTTGTCTAAATCACAAAATTAGTAGGTGTCAGAGATGGATTTGAATTTAGTTCCTTCTTAATTCTAACCCTATATTCTACCCACTGTGCTTCACTGTCTCTATTGCACTAAATATCCAAAATAATATGGCATAAGAGAATTTATTAGTGAAAAGTTTGGAATTTAGTTTGCTAAAGGGTAATATTTTGAGGGTATTACAAATGCAAGTCAGAAGTTAGCTATTATGGCAGCTTTAAAACTCAAATCAGTTCAAAGTAGAAATATAAGAGAATGCAGGTACCTAGAAACAGAGATAATGGAAGACTAAGGTATCCAATAAACTTTGAAGAAAACATAAGCATAGTTACTTTAATTAGGTTGAGAGTAATCATATAAATTGGCATGTGACTACAGGCCTTCATATGGAAAGAAACTGAATTTCTTAAGAAATTGGACTAAATACAAGCAAAAACGGAAAATATATTTTGCAGTATTAATACCATATTACTTCAGGCTTATTGCCTTCATCAACATTTTCAGGCTTATATTAAGTTTGGGAAGAGCTAACTGGAAAAGCTTTTCACTTTATTGAGGAATAAAGTACTATAGGTGTTTCTCTTGTCAAAAGATTTTCTGATTGAAATGCTTTAATTTTTGTGGTTAAAAAACCTTGTGGGAATCAAACGTGTACATTTGATATATTTGATTTCATTTTCCAATTTAAAAAAGATTTACCTTTTTAAAACCTTGGATCCTTTTATGGGAACTTTTCAGATATTCCTGTGAAAGAACTTTTTTCTAGATTTTAAGTGTATTAACTTCTCTTTTTTACTACAGGTTACTTTCAGGGGTAAAAAAGCTTTTCATATTTCAGTTGAATGATGGGAAAGTTACTGTGAGAAATAACATTGTAGTAACTCACTTGACACATGTAAGTTATTAATAAATAAGTGTTTCCTTCCTTTTATTTGTTTAAAGTCATTTCATCCTAAGTTTTAAGAGGTTTTTATGAGCTGTGTCAACAATTAAAAATCAGAAGTGATTATTTGTTTGTTGTGACTTTATTAATTGATATAGTCTTCTGGTGCCTGAGTGTTCTGATACATAAATTGAGCATGTTGTTAAAGGAAGATAGTTTTTCTCCCTTTCTGGCTCACAGAAATGTAAGGGCAAATTATATGTTTCATGTATAGATTCAACATTTGTGTAGTAGTGGTTTTCTCTATGTGCCAGATGATAGAACAAGTTATACAGGAAACACTTTAGTAAGATCTATTTGCACTAAATTCATAAATGAGCTATAATTTATAGTAATCTTTAGGGGTAGGAAAAGTGGCTGGCACAGGGAGGGAGAGAAGAGACAAAATACCCTACTTCATTGTCTTGAATTTCTCAATCTTTCTAGTTTCAAAATTTCGCTTGAAAAATTGAGAGGATTGGACTAGATGATCTTTGAATCTCTTAAATGTAATGCTTTAAAGTCCTAGGCCTTGGTATTACCCAAAAGCTCTATGCCCTAGTAAAATTTATCACCTCTAAAACATATCCTTTAAGTTATACCTAGCTCTCTATGATGTCTGTTTTTTAAAAAGGTAAGAAATATAATTTGTTGTAATATAGCTTTATGAAATGAGTATTTTTTATATATTTTCCCTGTATGTGAAACTTGAGTATTCATTCTAGCTTTGCTTTCTTTTATAAAATATTCTGAATTTTTATTAAAATCGTACTTTAAATATTTTACATTACAGCAACTAAATTTTTATGTTGCTGGGTGGAAATTTGAGCTTTCTGGTTTTGAGGGATACTAATTTAATTATGAAATACTCTTACAGAACTGTTTAAGATCGGTGCTGGAGCAAATAGCAGCATATGGCCAAGTTGTGTTTAGACTACAGAAGTTTATTGATGAAGTAATGGGTCACAGCTCAGAAAGTATGTTACATGGAAATATTTCCACACCCAAGAAATCTACTGAACCTCCATTTAGAACCTACCAAGCTTTTATGTGGGCCTTGTATAAATATTTCATTAGTTTCAAAGAAGAACTTAGTGAGATTGAGAAGTGTGTCATTAATAAAGGTATTGTAATAATTCTTCAGTTTTGCTTATGATACTATGACTTGCAACTTTTAAATATTTTTTGGCTTTGTGATTAATATGCACATTTGAAACTTTATAAAAATTTCATGCATAGCTTTCACTTTATAATTTTAGGGGTTTTTTGTTATTTGGTTTATTTTTGCAGATACAACAGTTACTCTTTCAATAGTGGTAGACAAATTATCACCTCGACTGGTACAACTCAAGGTTCTTCACAAAGTTTTTAGCACTGGAGTGGCAGAAGTGCCACCTGATACTCGAAATGTTGTTCGAGCTTCTCACCTCCTTAACACACTTTACAAAGCCATTCTGGAATATGACAATGTTGGTGAAGCCTCTGAACAAACGGTATGTGGAACTAATGTTTAGTTTAAATCACATGAAGTTTACTAACAAAACTGTGGTTGTGGAGGTGACCCTTGATTTCCACAAGCTTTGTCAAAGAGTGCAAGCCCTTACAGATTATATTAATCTGGAAAAGTTTTGATCCCAGACTAAGTGAAGGACTATTAAGTGTGCCAAAAAAAGAATGAACTTTGCTTACATTCAGAGAAGATCATCAGAAAGTGGCCACAGGAACTCACAGAGATTGTCAACTCAAGTGGAGGATGTTATGAGCTGAATTGCTGGAGGGGTGTGCCCATATCAATAAAATTAGGAGTCTTTTGGAGAATTGAAAGAATTTAACACCTACTAGGGCTTTCAGGACACCTGAAACTATGCTATGAAATTTAAAAACATAAACATTTTTAAGCCTATATGTTTTTTTTGGAAAAAGCAGTTAGAAATTAAAAAAAATGTTTAGAGACTAAAATTTGCAAAAGTAGAAGAATTGAACATTTATTTTAGCCAAAGTTTATAAGTATAATTTTACCCATTACAGCACCTGGAGAAGGCTTTATCACAAATACATTATTCATTTAAGTTATAACTATAGGGAGATCCAAGATAAAATAAACCTATAAAGTATTTTTAAAGGTATAAATAGTTTCAGGTTTATTTTAGTTTATATTTGTATTGTCAGAGTAACCAGAATAGCTCAGGTAAAAATGGTAATTCTTTTGAAATGTATACAAGTTACAAGTAATGTTAAACATTATTAGCCTATTCAGCCTTTGCTTGTGAAAGGTTGGTTGATATTCCTTGCAGTCTAAAATACCATAACACTTATTGGTGGTGATTATGCCTTTTCTTGTTGATTTTTTTTTATTTAACTTAAAATTTTTGACTTAACGAACAGCAAAAAACAGGAACATTTAGGTTTGTAAAGAATGGAAAAGAGAATTTGTATGTTTGATTTTTAAGTGTATATTAAATTTAATACTTTTAGTAACAAAACTTTGCTTATCTATTTAACCTTCTGAACTTCCTTCTGTTCTGTTGTGTTTTTTTTTAATGTTTCATTGATACTCTCTATTTTCCCCCTTTTTTTGCGTCACTTTCACTGCCTACCACCTCCTAAGTTTGTTAGTAACTTTCAGTCAGTAAACCTTGATTAAGCACAAATTGTGTGCTGGACTGACTTGATACCTGAAGAGGGTGTATTTTCTTGTATTTTCGTTTATATTGCATATAAAACATTTGCCAACCCCAGCAGGCTAGTGTTAGACTTTAGCCTATTGAACATTACCTCCAATACTTATATGAACAAGGTTTTGTAGACTTAAGCAATTTTAAGTGGTAAGATATGTAACTAGATAGAATAAGAGTGTTCTATTTTTAAAAATCATTCATATTAAAATTGAATTATTTTAGTTATATCACTCAGATTTAGGCACTACTTAGACTAATACTTACAACTTCTATTCATCACGAATTTGTCAAGCATCTATTGCATGCCAAGCACAGGACTGGGAATAAAAAGACAAAAATGAAACAAGACTTATCTCATGATTACCTTCTGCTAGATAGGAAAACAACATATATTCAGAGAAGTAAATATAAAATGTATATATTATGATTATAATATATGAGGGCACAGCCCTAACAATAGGGAGAATCAGGACATTCCTCTCGTAAGAGATGGCACTTGAGGTGAGGCTTGGAGAGGTTTTTTTACACTTTACTCCTTTCCACACTCACTGTACTGACCAGCTGCACTGGGCAACTGGCTTTTACTCATAACCAACTATTGTGTATAGAGAACAGCAAATAGGCCAGCTTGGTTAAAACATAGAGTATGTGACAGATAGTGATGCGTAATCAGTCTGGAAAAAATGGGCTAGAGACAGATGACTGAAAGGCTTTGATGCCAAACAGAAGAGTTTGTATTTTATCATAGAGATAGTAGGGAACCACTGAAGCTTCTTCATCAGGGAAGTTATATGGTCGCTACTCTGCTTGTCTTCTTAACCTTCTGAACTTCTTCCTTGTGATATCAGTTTAGCAGCCGTGGGGAGCATAGTTTAAAGAGGGTGATGAACTCAAGGAGACTAATTAGTAAGCTCTTGCACTAGTCCAGGCAAGAGGTGATGAGGCCTTGAACTAAGATGATGGTGATGAGAGTAGAGGAAAGGCAGAGGTAGAATGGATAAGCCCTGGCAAATAATTTGATGTGGGAATTGAGTAAGTCAGGGATGACTGAGGTGAACATAAGTTACTGGAAGAATGGTGGTACCCTTAATAGAAATAGAAAATTTAGGAGGAAATTTGAATTTAGGGGGAAAGGTAATGAATTTAAGTTTGAGTCAGAGAAGTGGCATGGTGCAGTAGATATAGAGATGGTCTTAGAGTTGGCAAAGTCTATGGTCAGGTTCTCCCTCTGATAACAGATAGTCCCTGACTTTGTGTCTCTTAATTTCTCAGTTCAGTTTTCTTGAGAATAAAAGTTGTAGAATAGTTTCTGATCCACATTGGTGGTGGGAATTTCCTCCCCTCAGTTGCTAAAATGATATTCTTAAAATGTTGGTTTGACCATGTCACTCATCTTCCCCTCCTAAGAAACTCATTGATTCGCTTTTATCTCCAGGGTCAAGTATGGAATCCTTTGTTTGGCATTTATAGCCCTTCACAACCTGACTCCTTCTTACCTTTCTGATCTTCTTATACTTTGCTTCTTTGTGCACACTTACTCCAGCTCTCCTGGACTCCTTGCTTTTCTTCATACCAGATACTCCCATCTCCTGATTCCATGCTTTTCCACTGGTTGTCCCCTTAGCCTAGAATGCCCCTCCTCATTTCTGCCTCCTGGTTTCCTTCAAGACTCACCTCAAATCCCATCTAGTGCACGAGATGTTTCCTGATACTCTTCCTTCCTGGCCCCCAATTCCTTCCCTCTAAGATTACCTACCTTTAGTCTACACTAGGTATCTGGTATGTATACAGTATACTTGCATGTCCACTTCCGCATTAGAATGTGAGGGCCACAACCACAAGGACTGTTTGGACTTTCTTTGTGTTCCCATTGCTTAGCACAGTGTCTTCTGAATAGTGAGCACTTAATAAATATTTGTTAATTGGCTGAGTGACTGGCAGTAAAGTGACAGAGGGAAAAAAGATACAGGATGATAACCTGAGGAGATAGTAGAGTCAAAAGAAAGTTTTTTAAAGAATGGGGTAGATCTGAGCATGTTTATATGCATCAGGGAAGGAAGTAATAAATTAATAAAGACTGAAATTAATTAACTAATTAATAAAGTAAATTAATAAAGACTGAAAGTTAGTATGAGATAGGGGATATTCAAAAGAGCAAGTCCCTGAAGTAGACGGGAAGGGATAGAATCCAGGGCACATAAACTAGAGGGATTGGCATTGGCAAGAAGAGTTTCCTCTTTTTTTAAGATTAACAAAAGAGGAAAGAGTGGAGTCTGATGTCGAGGGAATTTGAAGTGTACAATTGGGAACAAGAAGTTCATAACGGGTAGCCACCTTTTTTTTTCCCCAGTGAAGTCTGAAACTATCATCTTGAGCTCTGAGGAAGGGAGGAGACGATTGTGTGGGTGGCCCGAAAAGAGGTTTGGAATAGATGCTGTGCAACACAGATATTGAATCAATTAGAGAAAAGTTAAAAAGATGTCCTGTAGCAGTGAGAACCTAGTTGAGATTAGGTAACATACATTTGTAATGATTCCATTGCGCAAAACTGTAACTTTCTCCACAGGTGTTCGACAGCATTCTTGTAGGTGTGGAGTAGGTAGTGGGAGCAATCTGAAATTGGAGTTTGGAAAGGAACGAGTGTAGGATAATAGGTAGCCAAGGATAGCCATGCTAAAGTGATTCCATATCAAGCATTGGAAAGTATTTCTTTTAAAATCTGTTGGCAAGAATTTGGGAAGCTCCCTGTGGTGTATTATTAATTAGGAGGATCTGTTAGATTATACTAAATGTATTCTTCAGGATGCATTTTCAGTAATACAGTGCAGCCTTATGCATTAATAGATCATCTGTTTTTCCAGTTGTCTTTAATTTTAAAAAGTCCATTTTTTTAATACATAGAGAACTCTCATACCTCATTTTCTAAAATTTCAAAGTTGATGTGGGGGGTTTTTAATGAATCTCAGTCTTTTTATTGGATCTGTGTATCATTTTGATTTTTTTATTTCACTTTAAATACAACCAGACCAGAGAAGAAACCTTGACATTTCAAAAAATCAATAGCACTTAATTTTCTTGTTGCATCATTTTTGCTATATGAATACTTTGGCTTTCAGTTGTTTCAGGAAGAAGTTAAGATAGGTAGTAATTCAGATAATGATAAAAGTTATTTTCCCTGGCAGATATTTAATAAATAAGGTTTTTTTCCCCTTTGTTTTAGTTTTCTAAGACGTCTTGCATTTTTTCCCTTGACTTTGACCTATAAAATATATCACTTTTTAAAAATGAGTTGCAGAAATGCTTAAAATTTATATTTCTTCAATGTATATCATTTTTCTGTAACTGAAAATTTCAACTACTAAATTTGATGTTATCAGGTCTCCCTCCTTTTTTCTCTTTGGGTTGAGACCGTAAGGCCATACCTGCAGACTGTGGATGAATGGATAGTACACGGTAAACTATTTGATCCTGCAAAAGAATTCATCATTCAAAGGTAAGAACAAAAGTAATCACTGTATCAGCAACCTATAATAAACTTGGTAATATTGGAAAGCTGAACAGTAATTGTTTTACTGTGTCATGATAGAGAATGATTTTCTTTCTTTTTGCTCTTTGAGGGGGCCTGTATATAATATACAGGCATATGTCATCTTATTATACTTCACTTTACTTGCTTTGAAGATATTGTGTTACAAATTGAAGGTTTGTGGCAACCTTGCTTTGAGCAATCTCTCGACACCATTTTTCTAACAGCTTGTGCTCACATCGTGTTTCTGTGTCACGTTTTGGTAATTCTTGCAGTATTTCAAACTTTCATTATTGTTACATCTGTTATGGTGATCTGTGCTCAATGATTTTTGATGGTAGTATTGTCATTGTTTTGGAGCACCATGAACTACACCCAAATAAAACAGTGAATTTAATCGATAAATGTTACGTGTGTTCTGACTCCATCAACAAGCCCTTCTCCTGTCTTTCTCCCTCTCTTCGGCCCTCCCAGTTCCCCAAGACACAACAATATTGAAATTAGGCCAGTTAATAACTCTGCAATGGCCTCAAGTGGTCAAGTGAAAGGAAGAGTCAGTGGATGTGGCAAACTTCAATGTGGTCATATTTTAAGAATTTGCCACAGCCACCCCAACCTTCAGTAACGACTGCCCTCATCAGTCAGCGGCCATCAGCATCGAAGCAAGATCCTCTAAAAGCAAAGAGATTATAACTCACTGACAGCTCAGATAATGATTGGCATTTTTTTAGCAATAAAGTATTTTTAAATTAAGGCATATACTTTTTTTTTAGACATAATACTATTGCACACTTAATAGACTGCAGTATAGTTAGTGTAAACATAACCTTTATATGCACTGAGAAACAAAAAAATTTGTGTTACCCTCTTTCTTGAGATATTTTCTTTATTGCAGTGATCTGGAGCCAAACCCACAGTATTTCCGAAGTATGCTATACTGAACCTGGAGTCAAGAAATTCCTAGGTTTAAGCCCTGTGTCTGACACTTACCAGTTCTTTGACCCTAAACAAATCACTTAATCTCTTTTTGTCTCAGTCAGTTCTCTAGGACTTGGCTGTAAAAGAGTTTGTCATCTCTGATGAGAAAGGTTCCTGTACCAAAACTTCCTCCACTGAGGAAATTACAGATCTTTGAAGTGTATGTGGATTTCATTCTTTGATGTGTTTTTGATGAGATTGAGGCAAAATAATAAAGACGTGGTCCCTGTTTTCAAGCAGTTTAAAGCTTAGAGCAGTTAGAAAGCCTCTGAGGTCCCTTCTAGCTCTATAGCTATGATCCTATGACTTACATTAGAGTTATAAATTATGTATCATGTGATACTTGAGGAAAGAAAGACTTTTTCCAACTAGAGGTTCAGGATAGGCCACATAGAGGAGAGAACATTTAATGTGGGACATAACGAATGGAGAAGATGTCAGTAGGAACAGAGTATGACAGATAGCTATTGTTAATTTGTCAGTTCTGGCTTGATTTAAACCATTCATCTGTTCAATTAGTTCCTATAGGACTGTTTTTAATTAGCCAGGCTAATTTTACTAACTCTTCTAATTCTTTTTTTTTTGTTTGTCAGGAATCAGGCTCTTAGAGGAGATTGTTATAGAAGGATGTAACACAGAAACAATGGTCTCATTATTATTAATCATCATCATCTTATTCTCATCTTTTATTTTATCTTACCTTATTTTTGAGACTGGGTCTTTCTATTTTGTCAAGGCTGGAAAAGCAGGGGCCAGTCACATAGCTGATTCCATTACTGATCAGCACAAGAGCTTTAACTGGGTCTGTTTTTCCAAACTGGGCTGGTTCACCCTCTCCCTAATATACCTCCCCCAGCCCTCCTCATTATATTACTGTTATACTTACACTTAATGGACTTAGTCTGCATCTGAGGACTCCTGAGCTCAAGTAATCCACCAGCCTCATCCTCCCCACAGTAGTGGGGATTAAAAGCATGTGCCAACATGATTGGCTTATCCTCTTCTTTTGTGATGGAGTTCAGATAGAAATGGTTCTAGGACAAGTTTGTATCCTGCTAATATTCTTTTATACTTGATGTTCTGCAGATAGTTGTACAGGTGGATAAAATAACTGCTTTTTGTAGTTCAACAAAAATATTGGGATGTGAGCATATCTTCTGTAGGCCCACTGAAAGCATGTTGAGACAACTCCCAAAGCAGACAGGGTGATAAGGATGATCTATGCCTTCTTCTCTTCCATTTGGTTGTGTTCTCTTCCACTCCATCTTTATCTTTTGAAGACCTTTCATTCCATATAGTTTGTAGATTGTGAGTATTTAATATGATGACATCTATTAAAAACATTATTAAATTTTTATGGATCACTGTTATATCTGAGAAATTTTGGACAACACTTTTGTCTGTGATAATACTCTAGTTGCAGCAAAGGATATTCTGTAGTTTGTATTTTTAGTATAGAGATTTCTTGTCTGTTAGTTTATAAAAGATAGGAAGCTTCTGGTGTAAAATTTTATTTTTATTTTTATTTATTGTTTTTTGGTGTAAAATTCTAGCTACCTGATTATTTATGTCTTGCTAGATATTCATTAGGTGCTCAGTTTCTCACAACTTATAGTAATGTATTGAACAGTTTCTACTGTTTACTTGAATAATCTGCAGTGATTAATAAGCTGTTGTTTATGTTAATACATATGGTAACGACAGATGATATAGTGTAATATATAGAGCTGGACCTGGAATCAGGGAAAGGTGGATTTAAATCCTACCTATAATATTTATTAGCAGGATTAGCAAGTCATTTAACCTCTTTGAGCAACAGGCACCTCCGTAAAATTATAAATTATTGATGGCTTGCAATCCAAATCAGTAAAAATATATGATAAAGTCATATATCTTTGGTGGGGGTTGATGTTTATATAGCACTTTTTTGTTCTATGTTCTGCTTACCTGAATCTTGATAGGGACACTGTAGGTGCTACTTTCCCCATTTTACAGATGGAAAACTTGACTTGCCCTTGGTTACTTCAGTACTTGCTACTTTTCTTCTGATGTTATTGGTTGGTGATGTGTTGTAGCCAGTTGACACCTACTGAACCTGTCCATGTATTTTGGGGGCCCCATAACTTGAGGTCCTTGGAGATTGTAGTGTTCTGTAGCTCATAGCCATATAGTAGGACCCAAATAATATTAATAAAAGGGTGAGCTTTTGTTTCAGGGAGAAGCTGGGCGTCATTAAAAGCACTGTTCAGTTTCACAAAGGTAGTCTACCTCACGCTCTACCTCACGTTCAGACTCGGGCTCAGCTTTTGAACATTTTTAATGTCTGTCTGAGATATATGTACAAATGGATAAGCTATGTATGGGTTGTTCATCCAACCATATTATTCTTCATTTGTTTGTTTTTTCTTCTGTAATTAGTTAAGCCAAACTCTGTATGTTTTTAAGAAAACTTTTCAAGATATTGGAGCATCTCATTTTGAGAATAGAACCAAAGCACAAAGTGAGAACCTTTAATATATTTACTTCTATTTTTGAGGGTGATGAGTGGGAACAGACAAAGATGTTTTCCAATTTAGTTTAGCAGTGATGTAATGAGAGAGTTTTCCCAAAAGTTATTCTTAGATGAAAACAAATTGTTTCATTTTCAAAATTGCTGTTTTTGCTAAGGGAATACATCTTAATAGATTGTCACATTTAATGTTATTCAGGTTTCTATGAAATGTATTTAACTAGATTCAGCTTGAAGTAGTCTAACTTGCCTAGGCATTGTTTCAATAGGATTAGCTAACAAATAAATTGCACTTCTTTTGGTGTGTGTGTATTAGAAATAGATTCTGTATTTTCTCAGTCTTTAATTTTGTTATTGGCAAGAGCTTCCTCCCAAGACTCTTCATGATACCATGTAACTTCTGATAGTCCTAACAGAGGTTTGCCTAGTTTTCAATTGTAAAATGTATAACTTCGACATTATTTAATAGAAGCAGTTCTTAATGTAGAGTGTAGAGTCTATGAGGGCTAGAATTTAGTCATTTTTTTTAACCTTTGCAGCTCTAGAAACTAGCTTAGCATGTTGCCAGGTTGGACACTTAAGTATTTATTGAATTGAATTTTGTTGACTTTCATATATATTTTAATTAACACATCAGTGATAGCATTTGTTCCTTTTTATAATTTTGAAAATCTAACCCTCTTTTAATAAACTAAAATTTGTACTACTTTTTATACTGTATACTTTCCTGTAATGAGAATTAATTCAAATGGGACTCTGACTTGCCATAGTTACTTCTTCTGGGGTAAATGGTTTAACTTTTTTTAATTGTCAAAAGTAATTCACTTGAGAATTTAATTTGCCTGTGCTGGAGTAATATAGATTTGCTGAAATTACTTTCACAGAGGGTGGTAAGAGAGGTTATTAGTTCCCTACCAAGAGAGCAACAGTTTTGGATTAGGACTGTAGAGACATAATGGGACATGCTGTAGTGCATTTCTTAATTGATAAATCTGTGTTGGCAATTTCATTTCATTAAGTAAAAGATTAATCATTAATGCTTTGTAATATTCCAGGTTAGAAAAGTCCATTCTGTTCACTTAAATTTTATCATCATTATTCAGTTTGTTTTAAAAGTGGAGGATACAGCTCCTGCATATATTTTGGGATACCTGGAAAAGCAGATATAATTTGCTAGAATGGGTGAGCGTGTTTTCTTTTTAGTGTGGAGAATTTTTAAATCTATGATTGTCTTGATTTTCTTTCTAGAAACAAAAATGTTCCAGTCAATCACAGAGACTTTTGGTATGCGACCTACACGCTATATAGTGTATCTGAAAAGACAGAGAATGAGGAGAAAATGAGCGATAATGCTAGTGCCAGTTCTGGCAGTGACCAGGCTCCCTCAAGCAGGCAGCACACCATGGTGTCCTTCCTCAAACCTGTCTTAAAGCACATTATAATGGCCGGGAAATCTATGCAGTTACTGAAGAACCTGCAGTGCTCAGACAGTTCCCCATACCAAGCTGCTTCAAGAGGTGAAAGTGCTGGCTTTTCATGTTACTGTACTTAGCTGTAGAGTCCTAGTTAAGACTTTCCTGCGTTTGAACTGCTCATTGTTTAGAATCTAAATTGTCCTATTTTACATGAATGAATTACCTTTTAAAAATAACCAACACTATCAGGGGTATTTCACCCCTGACAAATGAGGAAATTATGCCAATGTTGATGGTTCTAGGAAGATTTTAAATGGTTTATTTAAAAGCCTCAGTCTTCATTAGGAGCTTTTAGCACAGTGTTTGAACAAGCAAAATGATAAATTGTGCATGTACTAAACTCGTTCTCATCCCCAAGGCGTTTTTTAAACGGGCCCCCTAAAAAGCTCTTAATGAGGTGAGCTAAATAAAGTATTGAATTGAAAACAGAAGTATTTACATAGAAAGAATGTAGAATTGGGTACTGTTGTTGATCCTGATAGTTACATCTTACAAGTAGACTTAGACCTTTGTGTATATTTTGAGACACTCTCCACAGCCTGACTGTTGATAATAGTTTAAGCAGTACAAAAGTAAATAACTTCAGCATCTGAATAAAAGAATTCGCTCTTGACAAGTATAAGCACTGATTTTTCTTTTTATTTTAAATCACTCTAATGACAAATTTTTTGTTGCTTGAATTTGAACATTCTTTCAGCTCAGAGAAATATTTCTTTTCTAAGTGATAGGTCCTCATTATGAAATATAGTAGCTCCCTTAGGAGATGAATCATCTTCCCGCAGGCACTTCTCAGAGTGATCTACAGTCCCCATAGGCAGGCTAATTACCTAGGACTACTGTCTTGAGTAATTTTTGCAGACAAAAGTATGACTCCTTGAATGTTAACACAGTATATCTATTGTGGTCATTTTACCACTGTAAATACATACACCTTTTGGACTTATACTTATGTTGATGGAGGCACTTTAGAATGGTTCTTTGTTTTTGGAGAGAGAGGTACAGAGAAAATTTTTTTGGGACAAAGCAGCTTATATTTTGTTGCATTTGCACAAAACCTATTACTACCGTCCATAGGCCATGATAATGATAAAAAATAGTTCCTCATTCACACTTAAAAATGAATGTCTTTACTTTTAGGCCAGTATTAGTGTGCAGTTACTTATTTGGGCATGAATTAATGAGCTTTATTTCCCAGGGCAAATTTTAATCCTAAATAATTTTCCTTTGTGCTTCAGATGCAGAAAGAAAAAGCTTGTACACCCTGTTTCTTGAGTCTGTGCAGTCCCGACTTCGGCATGGGGAAGATTCCTGGTCGGATGTCATCACTGAAGAACAGGCTACAAAGGAGAGCTTGATTAAGATGCAGTCTATAGCAGAAAGACACCTGGAGCTGGATGACGTTCATGATCCCTTGCTGGCCATTAACTTTGCAAGGTAACACAGATTTGTCAGATTTGTGACTGTGAAGGTCCCGGGGTCTGTGCAATATCTAGTAACTGGTCAGATAAAGCTTTTTCTTTTAAAAAAACAAAACACACAAATCTTTTTGTTTAAAGAATGTGAGAGAATGGTATTGTTAAAATTTTCAGCAGCATTACTCATTATTTTTGTTATCTCATGTAAAGTTTGCTGTGATGCATTAACAGTAGCACATTGATGTAGATTTGTTGCTTTATTTTTTCTCCCAGATACCTGAAGAAAATAATTTCAGAAAAGGGAATTTTCTGAAGGCTTTTGGTCTTGGGCAAATGTTATATAACATATTAAGTCACATTCTTGCACTGGGTAAACTATTTAGCTTGAAAGTATGGCACTTTTAAAAACTTTATAGGGCTACTCTAATGTCAGTACCGTGTAATTACCATAGTGTCCTAGAGTTGTTATACACTGAGTCATGCTCTAGTAGCTCAGAAGAATTAAAATTTCTAAAGATGCCCGAATTTAACAATAGGGCTAAAGGCTAACAAATTTTCATATACTAAAGTACTATTTTGGTGGTATGACTTTTGCTGCTTTTAGGATGCTTGATAATTCTAAGAATGATAAGTGAGCATAAAAATGAGTCCGTCCATTTCTGAGTGAATAATCCAGTTGATGGCAGCAGTAAAAAAATCAAGATTCATATTTTTATTTTGAAGGTTATATTTGGAGCAGAGTGATTTTCATGAAAAGTTCACTTGTGGTGATATTTGTATGGATAGATCATCTGAATCCGTGACATGCCAGACTTTTGAACTAACCTTGAGATCCTGCCTTTACCCTCATATTGATAAGCAATATCTGAAATGCTGTGGAAATCTAATGCACACTTTAAAGAAAGATTACAAGTAAGGTTGGAAATGAATTTATAGTTTAAAATGGTTGGTTGTTTATTGTATTTAAGAACAACTCAAGAAGTGTGATTACAGGGACTTATTTTCCAAATTTTAAGTTAATTTTAAAATTGTGTTTGGAACAATTTGCCTTTCAATGCATTATTTAGTATTTTCTGATTATAAGTGAGTAATACAAATAACTGTTGTTAAGTTAAATAACTCTTTAACTTGATGTGTTATACAGAGGGCAAAATTTTTTATGCTTCCAATCTTGTGAACTCAGGATGTTGCTATAAGTTATTTGTTGTGTTTGTTTTTTCCATTTAGGTTGGTTGAGTATCTACAGGCCATGAGAAATTTTTTTCTACTTGAAGCTGGAGACACAATGTATGACTTTTACACATCAATTTTTGATAAAATAAGAGAAAAGGAAACCTGGCAGAATGTTTCCTTTCTTAATGTTCAACTCCAGGAAGCAGTTGGACAACGTTATACAGAAGACAGTTCACGGTAAAACGTGGGAGCTTTCATAATAATACAGTCACGAAAGAATAGCATGCTATGGACTTTTCTTTACTTTTCAGTTTGGGACACAGATGTGTCAGTGTGTATTTTAAGAGTATGATACAAATGAGACCTCTTTTGAGTTCAGTCTTGGTAAATTTGCTCTTCTTTGCTCTCTGTTTCTGTCTCTTCCTTTCTTCCTTCTTCCTTCCCCCATTATCTCTCATTTCCCCTTTACTCACTGTCTCTCCTTTCTTCATTGCCTTCTTCCCACATAATTTATAATTTTAGAGAATTGCCTAGGGCATTGAGAGGTTACATCACTTTCCCACTGTCAACACAGCCAATATTTCTCAGTGTGTCATAAATGGAACTTGAATCTAGGTCTTCTTGGCTCTCTGACGTGTGTGTGTGTGTGTGTGTGTGTGTGTGTGTGTGTGTGTGTGTGTGAGAGAGAGAGAGAGAGAGAGAGAGAGATATCACACATATATGTTATAAAAAATGAGTTCTGGCTGATGACTTTGGAATGGTGGTTAACATACACAAATTATGCTGCTGAATTTGAGAATACATCTTTAAGGACTTAGAGTTTATTTGAATTATCAGTGAATAAAAGTTTTGCTGAGCCTGGCATTCTGGTGTGAAATGTAAGACTTTTAAATTCAAATGTATTTATGAAATGAAGACTTGATGGGTGACATTTTGTTGTTGTCATTTCAGTCGTGTCCAGCTCTTTGTGACTCCATTTTTTTTGGGGTGGGGGGAAGGTTTCTGGCAAAGGTATTAAAGTACCTTGCCATTTTCTTCTCCAGCTCATTTTACAGATGAGGAAACTGAGGCAAAAAGGAATAAGAGACTTGCCCAGGGTACCACAGCTAATAAGTGTCTGAAGCCAGATTTGAACTCAGGGGGATGAGCCTTCCTAACTTCAGGCCCAGCATTCTAACCATTGATTCACCTAGTTGTGGAAGAGGAAATAGACTTATTCTATATAGTTGCAAAGAAAAATAGGGACGAAGTTTGGTAGTTATAAGGAAACATATTTTGGCAGTGTAAAGAATTTTCTGTTAGAACTGCCCAAAAATGGGATGGGTCACAATATGCTACAGTGAATTTACTGTCGCCAAAAATGTTTACGCATAGACTGATTGACTAGCTCTTAAGAGTTTTAGGAGACATTCCTGGATGAGGAATTCCTGCTAGATCTCTAAAGCCCTCTTTCTCTCCAGTATGCTATGATTCTTTTAGTTCCCTACAAAGACATGTGAACCAATTTATGATTGATGGATTCTGTAATTCTTTCCTTCTGTGGAGATTAGCTGACGTTTGTATTTAATAATTTTTATTAATTATAGAACCATAAAATTCTACAAACACACTCAAGTTTCCCCCCCATCCTTAAAAAAATCCACACCAGACCCTGGTTTCCCATCAAGTTGTTCTCATATATCTCCCCTCCTTTCAGAGCCAAATTCCTGGGGAAAACTTATTTGTACTTGATGCCTCCACATCTCATTTCACTCACTTCTCAACCCTTTGCAGTTTGGCTTCCAGTGACCTCTCCAAATTTACCAACGATACCTTAATTGTCAAATTTGATGGCCTTTTATCGGTCTTTATTCATCTTGATCTTTCTGCAGCATTTGACACTGCTGACCACCATCTTGTCTTAGATAGTCTCTTCTCTTTAAGTTTTCATGACACTCTTAGTTCTTCTAGCTGTATGACCACTTTTCAGTCTCCCTTTGCTGTTTCATTATGCAGAACATCTTCCCTAACTGGGCGCATTCCAAGGCTGTGTCTGGGGTTCTCTTCTCTCCCTTCATTTTCTCACTTGGTGACCTTATTATTTTCGATAGGTTTAACTGTGGTCTCTGTGTAGATGACTCCCAAAACTGTGTACCCAGGGGGCAGCTAGGTGTAGCAGTGTATAGAGCACTGGCCCTGAAGTCAGGAGGACCTGAGTTTAAATCTGGCCTCAGACCAAGCACTTGACACTTACTAGCTGTGTGACCCTGGGCAAGTCACTTAACCCCAATTGCCTTAAAAAAAAAACAACTAAAAAAAAAACCTGTGTACCCAGCCCTAGTCTATCTCCCTCTCTCTGGAGTTTGTGTTACACATCTTCAACTGCCTGTTGGGTATTTCAAACTTGATTTCCTGGAGATATTTCAAACCTAACATGTACTAGCTGTGTGACCCCAAACCTTTAACTTCTCTGTGCCTCAATTTCCTTAGTCAGTCAGCAAGTATTTATTGAATGCTTACTATGTGCCAGACATTTTGCTAAGTACTGGGGTTGCAAAAGGCAAACAACCAGTTCCTTCCCTCAGAGACCTCATATTTGAACAGGGGAGAAAATATTCAAATGGCTATGTATGAAGATATATGCAGGGTAAATTGTAGATAGTCTCTGAAAGAAGGCACGATCCTTAAGATGGGCCAGGAAAGGCTTCTTATAGAAGGTGGGATTATAGCTGAGACATGAAAGAAGCTAGAGAAACCAGGAGGCAGAAACAAGGAGGAAGAGAATTCCAGGCAAGGTAGATAGTCAGTGTGCCCACTAGCCCCCAAGGCTAGTGACTTCCTCCTGGAAATTACTTTGTGTTGACTTTGTTTAAACTTTTGTGTATGTACCCAAGAGTTCCCCCAATAGAATATCAGCTCTCTAAGGGCAGGAACTGTTTCATTTTTGTTGTTTGCTATTTTATCATCCTCAGTGCCTGACATATTGTATGTTCTTAATGAATGCTTGTTGATTTATTGATTGAAACTTGGAAATACCTTAGAAATCATGTAGTCCAAGCCATACCCCCATCATGAACACCATCTACAAATCCCTGACAAGTGTTCATTCAGACTCTGCTTGAACACCTTCAGAGATAGTCAGCTTGGTGCCTTCCTTAGCTCCCTACATCATCTCTGGACCTCTGTCTTGTTCAGTTTTATAGAGATAGGACCTATGATACCTATGGGAACTGCCAGGTGAGGAAATTCTCTACCAGTGGAAGTTGGCACCTTCTCTGCAAGTTCTGTTCAAAGAGCATTGCCCAGAATGCTGATGTGTCCAAAGGAAAAATAGATGTCAGAGGCAGGGCTCAAACCTAAGTCTTTCAAACTCTGAGAATAAAGATCTGGCTCCCTATAACTAGACCCATAACCAAGCTAGACAGATTTTAGATATGACGATTTAAAAAATACACCAGGATGTGATGGAAAGAGATTTGCTTTAGAAACAAAAGACCTGGGTTTAAATCTTTTCTCTCATGTCAGCTACTTATGTGGCCTTTTGCAAGTCACTTCAGCTAGGCCTCTTCTGTAAAACGAGGAGACTAGAGGAGATGACCTCCAAGATCCTTTCTAGTTCTCTGGCTCCTCTCATTGCAACTGAGTCTTCCCCTCTTAAAGTTCAACATGTTTACTTCCTTTAGTTGTTGATAACGTTGTGTCACTAAATTATCCCATTACTTTCTCCTCTTGACACATTTCAGTTTGTTATTATTGCCCCTCCTGAAATGTGGCCAGAACTGGATATAGTCTTCCAGATTTGTTATTGTATATATTTAGCTTATGATTATTGGTTATATATTTAATATAATTAGGATCTCCCTTCTGGAATAGTGTATGAAATATTTATACAGTGCTTTTTTTGACAATACATTAAAGAGATAAATCAATATATGCAAAACTGAATATTTTTATTTTTAAAGATAATTAAGATTTCATTTCCTAAAAAATATTTTGGAATAGATTTATAAATTCAAACTTTGAAATTTCTTTATTTAGCTTATCAATATCTTTTGAAAATGTTGACCCAACTAAGAAGAAACTCCCTGTTCATATCTTGGATGGCCTAACATTGAGTTACAAGGTATATAATTATTTGATTGCCAAAAAATTGTTTTCTTTTACAAATCATTCAGGAGAACATATTATTTTCCATTCACTTTTCCTATTCTTTTCCTAGGTTCCCTGGCCTGTGGACATTGTTATAAGTTTAGAATGCCAAAAAATTTATAATCAGGTGTTTCTTCTTCTATTACAAATAAAGTGGGCCAAATACAGTCTAGATGTTTTACGATTTGATGGTAAGAAATTGTAGTTAATTGTCAAAAATTAAAGTATTTGGAGTATTGTCTGACATTTTCTACATACATGCAAACACTGAGATGATACCTTTTAACCAATACACTATGCAAAGTTGAAGATAAATTTTCTAGGATATTTAGGCAGAAATAAAACAGAAATGCTATAACTTAATTTAGAATTTAGCAAGAATACTCTTCTACCTGGGTAGTGTGAATAGAGGCATTACCAAAGTTGTTTTTCAAATGAGAAGTTAATGTCAATAAAATGTGAGTTTTCCTTTTTATTTGACAGTAATAATAAAGGAAGAATGGGAAACCTCTCATTATCTTCCTTTTCCAAGCCATTGAAATTTGAACCTCTTTCTCAGTCTTTTTCAAAGTATTCCTGTTTGGTACATCCTTTGAAATGTAAATAACCACTTCTTTAAGAATTCAAGACCACCTGTAATGACAAGTATAGTGCTCTATGTAGGTGAGCTTCCTACCCACTGTCTTCTTTTTCTTTTCTAGAATTGGTTAGTACTGCAGAAAAGCCACCAATTAAAGAAGGATTATTATTTGAACAAGACTCTGTTGCTCAGTTTGGACCACAAAAGGAACCTGTAAAACAACAAATTCATCGAATGTTTCTCTTGAGAGTGAAACTCATGCATTTTGTTAACAGCTTACACAACTACATCATGACTAGGGTATTTGCCTCTAATGCTTTATTCCATTTCTGCAAATTTAAAAGTAACTGTTTAGCATTTCTCCTAAAAATATGTTTCCTCAAAAGGTTTATGTTCTAGATAGGGCACAGGATGCTTAAAGATGTAATTATAAAGTAATGTTGCGGTTTGGGGTGCTAGGAACCCCAAAGATGCAGGTTTTTTTGGGTTGCTGAGAACACCAAAATGTAAGGGTACTAGATGAGTCTGCCTGGAAAGAATTCAAGCACTTGAGCCTTCTTTGAGTCAAAGTAGCAAGGTTTGTTATAATGCCAATAGAAGTAGATATGATTCCCAGTGAATCTTCAACTTGATGGGAGTAATACTGATGCTTATATACAAAAAGGACAATGAAAGGATGTGGATGGGATTAAGGAGTGGTAAATTGTCTGGAGCAGACCAAAAGTTACAGTGAAAGTTAAGTAAGCAAAAAAAAGAAAGTCCAGTAAGCTAATCAGGTGATCTAGGTGGGCTGGGGTGGGCTAGTTGCCTTCCACAGAGGCCTGTGATCTGGGCTGCTAAAAATGTATGGGAAAATTCAGGGATTGGGTTGCTTTCAAAAACGTGATCTTTTCTTTTTAGGGATCCAGATCCCCATCTGCCCATCAATGTGATTGATTTCTTAAAAAATTATAAACCCAAACGAACATCTTTCTTTCACAGAAGCAACTTTAAGAGAGTAAACATTTTTTAAATACTGTTATCCGTACTTGAATCATTTTTGGAACCCATTTTGGAATCATCTTCATAGTCTGTAGCATATTCATTTGAGTATCCTCAAGTTGAGCAAATCTTCGTCCTTTTTGGCTGATTTAGTTTTTTGAAAGAACCCCAAACCATTTTGTGATCAGTTCTGGTGATTGGGATGGATAATTAACCTGAGTAATAGTGGATTTAACTAAAAAAACAAAACCTATATCTCTGTCACCACCTCTTCTTCCCCTCTCTTCTTCATCCCTTCCTCGCCAAGTGTGGCTACAAAATAATAACACTGGTTTTATTAAACAGTAGTTTTGATTTTGTGTTAATGGCATAGTTACAGAGTGTTTCAGTTTGTGCAAAATAGATGTCTTAAGCAACTTCCCATTAATGTCAAGCATGTTTTATGTCAAATAGCCATAAAGAAATAGTATAGAAAGCCTTGTGTAATTTATTTTGCAAAGCTTTGCAAACTTAAGTGTTTTCAGGATGAATTTGAAACAGAAATTGGAGAAAATAGTAAAAGATTCCATAAAAAGTATGTACGTCCAAGGAAGAGGAAAAAAATGATCAATTTGAGGAGCTAAAGCTTCTTATTTTTCATTTCAAAGATTCTTCACAGTACAGGTCTGGAGTTTCAGCACCAAGTGGAGGAAGCAAAGGATTTAGATCAGCTGATTAAAATTCATTATAGATATTTGTCTACAATTCATGATCGATGTCTTCTCAGAGAAAAGGTACAGTAGCAAATAAAACTGGACGTTCTTGCCTATCAAGGCAACAAATTGTCTTTGACATTTGGTAATCAAGCAGTTTATCTGGTTTTGATAAATTACAATTAATGGACCACCAAGGTCCATGTTGCTGAGATGGTTATGTTCTGGGAGAAATGTTCTGTCCTTTTATGAAAGTTAGCTCTGCTTCTTATTTGTAAAAGAATAATTTCATTTATTCGGTCAAGACATAGTTTAGAAATGTTTCCAGTTGTGTGTGAGTTTGTAATGTTGAGCAAGACTTGATGTATTGACACTGCCTGCCAAATTTTATACTTATGATAGGTGATTTATACTTAGGATAGGAGATTATAGTCTGGTTGGTTAGAACATAGTGCTGATAACATCAGTGTCTCCTTTTTCCTGTGTCAGTGTCTCAGTCTGATTTGATCCCTGTATTTTCAGTGCCTTAGACAGTTAAGTGCTCAGCAAATAATATTAATGATACTGTTTCACTATCATTTCATTTAAAGTGAATACAAAATGGTCTTGTCTTCTTTGGATTAAAATTATCAAAATCCTAGCCACCAAAATGAATGTTTATTTTTGTATTCCTAATTCCAAACAGGTGAGTTTCGTGAAGGAAGCTATAATGAAAGTCTTAAATTTAGTCCTCATGTTTGCTGATCGTTGGCAGGCTGGTTTGGGAGCTTGGAAGTAAGTAGGAGTCATTTTTAAAATGTTAACTATTTTGAATGTTTTAGCAATTTTAAGTTGAATTCATTTTGTGTTAGGGTTTGTTGTTTGTTTGTTTTTTTCTTTTGAAGAAAATTACTTTGTCCTTAATTCTTATTTAGAAGGAGAGTTAAGTTTTATGTTTGTTCACTTAAACTAATATCAGGGGCATTATCACTACCTTTTCTTTTTTAATAATTCAGAAGGTTAAATGTTAGTAGGTAAAGTCTGGAGAGAATTTTTTAGAAAAAGTTTTTGTAGTAACAAAGAGATGGGAATGGGCTGATCTTAAGTTGTATTTCCTCATTTTATTTTGTTTCATTATAATTAATGATTGTGTGTTTGGCGAACTTGAAAAGCTGACATTAAAGAGTTCACCATTTGCTGATTCAAATTTTTCTCTTGGCTTTGAAAGACAGCTGCCTCAGGTTAAACAACAAACTAAAATTCAGAGAGACCTTGGTTTTTATCTAGTTCTCTCATCTTTGCACTCTTTGTCTTTAAGAAACATGGTTTTTCTGCTTTGTTTTCTTATTTCTAAAATGAGGATAATGATCATTGTAATATATTCCTCCTAAGAAATGTGAATTGTTTCACAGGATTGTTAAAGAATCACAGAATTATAGAGTTACAAGAAACTTTAAAGATCATCTAGTCTATTTCCTGACCAAAGTATGCCTATTGTCTGCCACATTTTCAAGTGCTCATTCAGCCTCTGCTTGAAGACACCCCCCCCCCCCAGTAATAAGAGGTTCACTTCCAGAAATTCATTCCATATCATTTTTGGACAGCTTCGACTGTTAGGAAATTATTCTTTATATTGACTTACTAATCCTGGTTGTGTTACATATATGAAGTGAAGTAGAGCAAATCTAATCCATCTCTGTGTGTCACCCTTTTAAATATTTGAAGATGGTAATCATGTACTTCCTAAGCCTGTCACTAGACTGAGAGCCAGAAGATCAGAGATTGCCTTCTGGCCATGCCCCCATGCTAGTGATGTTTACCTCCCTAGGTCTCATTTTCTTCCTTTGTAAAATGAGGATAATACACAGTGTCCCAAAAGTTCTTATGTGTGTATTGTCTGTCTGCCAGAATTGTTATCAAATGAGATTGTCTCTGAAAATGTTTTATGACCTGAAAGTGCATTATAAATGTAAGCTTTTATAGCCAATCGCTTATTATATGTTTATTATACCCATGACTCCACAAATATATTTAATGCTTACTGTGATAGTTATTGGGGTAAAAAAATTTTTTAAAAAACAGTCTTTGCCCTCAAAGACCTTACATTCTTTCAAATAATTACCAATGATTGTTAATTTTCATTATTAGTAAGTCATCTTTTCAGGCTAAACATCGTGTTTCCTTTAGCCAGTTCTTTTATCATCTTGCCAATTTGGGTGTTTGTAAGAGGTAAAACTTCAGTTGTTTTGATTTGCATTACTCTTACTATTTAGGGTAGTCTTTCAAATAGCTGTTAATCATTTCTAATTCTTCTTTTGAGAAGTATTTGTTCATTTCCTTTGACCAGTATATCTGTTGGGGAATGGTGCTTAGTTTTATATATGACATCGATCCTTTAATCTTGAGTCTTGAGTCTTGAGTCTAGTGGGACCTCTGAATCCACCAAACTGTACTACTGTCCTATCTACATCTCTCCTCCTTATTCCCAGGATATGGTAGAAAAGCTTTGTTAAATTTCTTGTTAAAATCTAACTGAATTATGTCTAATGGTCTCCTTAACTGTGTTAAATAAGAAGTGAAGTTAATAAGAAGCTGGCTCCTGGTGCTCACTCTTTTCTTTCTAAATATTCATAAACCACACCTTAAATAATCTGTTTGAGCATATTACCAAGAGCCCATTGTCAAGGACCCTGGCCTATAGTGTGAAATATCTCTCTTGTTTCCCCTTTTTAAAAATTAGGACAGTGGTTTACCTGCTTTCAGTTCTGCAGCACTTCTGCTCTGGAGCTGTGGGAATGGTTTTTACCACAGTTCCTCAGAGATCAACCACAGAGGTTAGGCAGCCAAATCCACGAGTTCTTTTTGTGCCCTGGGACATAGATTACTAGGAGACTCAAACTCATTGAAGGTACTTATCTTGGGTTTCAGTTTTCGTTATTAAAAATTTTGTATTCTATCCTACTCAGTCTAAAAATAATTAAAAGTTGCATAGTTTTGATCCTTTATCATCTTCTCATCTTCTCCCACAAAGAGTCCTTGGTCCTTTCTTAAGCGCCCTCTTTCCTCCAGCATCGCTCCTTCCATCCACTTTGGATGATTGTTCTGAGCATTTTGTCCCAAGGTTTAGCTCATGCTCAACTTTTTATTTCCTGACATTCACATAGGACTGCCTCTTTTTGCATTCATCCTCAGTTACCTGCCTTTGTTTTTATTTCTTCTACATGTCCTTTTAAAATCTGAGATCTTTGATGAGCACCCTAAGCAGCCACATCAGTTTTCTCCATTTATTCCCTCTTAGACTTATTTGTGATTATCTTCCTGAGAGGCAATTATCTTTCTTTAACCTGTTTTTTTGTTTGTTTGTTTCAAGCCATGGGGTTTCTAGCCTATCTCTGAACTCTAAATTAGAATACACTGTAGACTACTCATTGTTTTTCTCTTTATGTATATGAATTCTTAAGTGTTGTGGTCACTGCCTTCCAAGGTTCTCATCACTGTCACTTCACCAGTAATCTCCTCAGTGGTCAGAAAGAGAAGTAAAGAATTTATCAATTGCTGCCCTCTTGGCAGAGAGAGCACACCAGCACATAGATCATTCATGTCCTGTATCACTACTCTGTTCTGCCACTGTTTGGCTTTTTGACCCAAATCAGAAATTTGTCTTCCATTTTCTGTAGCGAGCTTATAACATATAGTCCTACCTTAATATTACTCGTTTCTTCTTCCTTTGAGCTTCACCAGAATGTATTATATCATGCTTTCCCTCTCAGGTTCATATATTTTAACATAGATGAATATCACTTTTTTGTAAAATACTGTTTTGCTGTTCTCTCCATCTAATGTATCACATTGTCATATCTTGCCTTGAGACATACGTAGCTAATTAGGCAAGTCTCTTGGTGGGAAAGGCAAACAACATTCCCTACCCGGAGAGGAAGTGTGATGTAAAGTTGGGAGAAGATGAAGAGTAAACTGAAGAACCAGGCTGGGTTGGTACCAGGGTGCCTGAGGAGTGAAAAAATCCAAAGGGAAATAAATGGGAAAACCTGGTTATCAGAGCAGATTCAGGCTTCAAGTCTGTACTTGATCAAGAAGCAAACTACATGGAGCTTTCCGTGCCAGTAAGATCAGGAGTGAGGTTCACTGTGTTGCTTCTTTATTTAACTGAGCCTGTCAATCCGTGAATCATAAAAATCGGTACCTTTACATGGCTGTATTTTAGTCTTGAGTCACATTCCATCAAGACTCTACGATGCCTGTGAAGTTGTGTTTGGATCTCTAGCTCACTTTTTAATTGCCCATAGTCTTTGCTGTACATATCCATCTTCAGGCTAAAGTATGATTTTTGCCTCTTCTCCTATTCATAGTCTCCTGGATTCTTGAGTACTTCTGCTGCTGTTCTTTCAGTGTCATAGGCTTCTAGTGTTTGTATCCAAATACTATTTCCATTATTTATTTGTTTCATCAATTCATACAAGTCTTCCCAGGTTTCTCTTAAACCATCCCTATTGTCATTTCTTATGGCACAATAGTATTCCATTACATTCATATACCATGAACATTAATGTCCTATTATTGGAGCGGTGGATTGGTTCAGCCATTCTAGAAAAGGTAATTTTGGAACTATGTCCTAAAAGTTATTAAACTGTGCATACCCTTTGACTCATTGATAGTATTGCTAGGCCTTTGGGGGGTAGAGTTTTGTTGTGGACATGTTTGAGATGTCTACTGGACACGCAGTTTAAGATATCTGAAAGGCATTTGAAGATGTAAGGTTGGAAATCTGAGCCTCATCAGCATAGAGATGATAACTGAATCCATAATAGCTGATGAGATCACCAGTGAAACAGTATAGAGGAAGAAAAGAAGAGGGCCTAGGACAGGGACTTGAGGGATGCCAAGAGTAATGAGGCATGACCTAGATGAAGATGGGGCAAAGAAGACTAAGGAGTGTGGTCAGATGTGTAGAGCAATCAGGAGAGATTAGTGTCACAAAAACCTAGAAAGAAGTGAGTATAAAGGAGAATAGCATAATTGACAGAGTCAGTGGCTGTGTCAGGAAGGATGAGGGCTGAGAATAGCCATTAGATTTAGAATTAAAGAGCATAGCTAGGTGGCATAGTGGGAAGCTGTAAAAGGGACCTGTTTAGGCATGAACTAGATTGGATGATCTCAAAGGTCCATTTTAATTCTATGGGGCTATGATAAAATTTGTTTTAATCTTTAACGTATTTCTTGCCTTAAGACTTTTATAATGAAAATAAGGCAATTTGCAATTAATTCCAAAGTGAGATTTATATACCTAAAGACTTTTTGCTTTGAGTGCATGATTTCATCACTGTATTTTTAATCAAAGTTGTATTTTGCTTCTGTAGGATGGAATCAATTGAAAAGATGGAGTCAGATTTTAAAAACTGTCATATGTTTCTTGTAACTGTTTTGAATAAAGCAGTCTGTAGAGGATCCTTTCCACATTGTAAGTATGTATAATCAGTTAACATATTTAAATATCTTTTGAGCCATGATGGATGCTATACAAAATTGAGATGTTTTAAAAATCTTTACTTTAAGAGATGATAACCCATTTATTTAATAATATGATTAATAGTATTATTAGTTTTTGATAAAAAGGACTAGCTTTTGATTGACCTTAGTGAATAGGAATAATAACTTACTTATATATTTAGGCATGGTACTTTTTACAGTTTGGAAAAGTATAGTCTTCATGATGACTTTGTGACATAGGAAAAAGCAGATGTCTCTTAAAACAGCCTTGTAAAGTTTACAAGTTGCACATGAAATCGTTGAATACATTATACACATATATATATTCCCTCTACAAAGAAAAATGTAAGCACCATCTGTTATGTCATTGGCACATTCCCCCTAAAAACAAATCAACACTCCATGAAAATACCAGTAGATGATGGAAGCTGATACCTTATGACACATGTCTTAAGATTGACCTGAACTATAGCTTTTCATTTTCCCTTGGAGATTATATTAATGGTAATTTTTGTGGTAAGGACTAACACTAAGTCATTTTATTATATCTTTAATCTCACTGAATAGCAGTAGGTGGTATTCCTTAGCATTTCAAACAGTGGTAAAACCACTTAGCAGTTCTATATTGAATTTTCTCATTAGTCACATAACAAAGTAAATATTAAAATTAAAAAACTAAGAATGTTAACCTTTCACCTTGTACCCATAGTTAATAAATGAAGATGACAAAATTTGCCATACCATTGGCCTTTAGTTACTTCATTTTTTATTTTAATATAAATCAGAAACTGGTATGGATTTCATTTACATTTACTATGCCATTGGTAGGTTTTTGCTACTACTTTTAAAAATATATTGAAAGTTATTTTTATTTTACTAAGTTAACTCTCAGGGCTGCCAGTACAATGAAATTCAAACCTAATAGATTCAGAAGAGGGTTATACAAAATAAACAGTTTTGAGAAGAAGCTACCTGATGAGTCATAGTGAGTGGAAACAGAATATAAATAGTCACCTTTTTGCCGCACATTGTTTAGAAAATTTGGTAGGCTGACTCTGTTTGCTACAGAAATCTATTGAAGATATAGTCTCTTAATGTGTGTGATGTCACAGTAGCAGTTATTGCCAGATTTGTGTTAGTTTTATCTCTCATTGGGCCATTTTTTATGTCGAGTGCTTACTGTGTAGTATAGTAGATTACAAGTATATATAGTATACAAGTATGCAAGATATACAAGTAGATTACATACCAGTATGATTATAGCAACTTTATGTCAAGAATTTATCTTTAAGTGTATGTGCAACAAGATATAGCTGGATTACTGCATGGTGATTTCAAAACAAAAAACAAAAACAAAACAGTGGACCTTGGAGAGGGTCATGAGACCAGGGTTACAGTTTAGCAGTTCTGTGTTGGGCAAAGTTGCTTGACATTTCTGGCTTCAATTTTCTCATCTCTGCTACTGAGGCAATTGCCCTAAAAGTTCCAAAAAGAAATGGAAGTCCTCAGATTCTAAATACTGAGACTGAAATTGCAGCTATGTATAAACGCAGATTATTAATAGAAAAACTTATCTTCTTTACTTGGGTACAATGTTTGTTATAAACATATCAGATAAACATAAAAACTCTTCTATTTCTAGGGTTACTGTTAAAGTTATTGAAGGCTGATCTAAACATTTCTTTTTTTTTTTTTAATTCTACAGTGGAGTCTCTGGCATTGTCACTCATGGCAGGCATGGAACAGAGTTAAGACATTTGCAGTCTAGTGAATACCTCAAAAAGTTTCTCTTGTAGGCTTTATTTTCTGCATTATATTTATGTACTTTTAAGGTGTTTTTTTTAAAGAAATAATGGTATCTATTGTATAACAGGATAAATATTTTGCTATTATTTCCCTTCAGAGATTATTATAAACTATATGGAATTGTGCATATAAAAGTATGTAAATAATGTATATTAAATATGGGGTACTAGTATTTTATTTTTTCCTTTTGTAAGCTATAGATTCATGATATTGTCTAAAGTATCCTAATTAGACCATAAAGTGAAATATTTCATATTTTTAATTGCTTATTTTTAAAACAGACTTAAGGCACTTTAAATTCTCATTTTGCTGCTATACATTCAATATAGGATATTTTTAATGTAGTCTGAGACATTTGTTTCCTTGAAGGTTGCTTTGAATTCATTTTAACCTTCTCTGAATTACATTTATCCTATTTTTTTTACATGAGAGCCATCACAGGTAAAGACACTGACCAAAAAAAATTTCATCTTGTCTATGTTACAAATAGAAAATGCTTATTATGCTGTAGTACCAAGCCACTAGAACATATCTACTTTTGTTTGCTATTAATCAACAACTTGCTTTAACCAGACAAAATAAAATGTGATTACCATGCAATGTGTTTGTATTTTCTTTGTCAACCTCATGGTAGGCTCGTGCTCATATTTGACTTGATCTTTTTACCATCTTGTTTTGTAGTTATTTCTTAAAACAAAAAAAATGGAAAAAATCCCTGCAGCACAATTTATAGGGTCTTTATAGGTAAAGGAGGATGGGAATAACCAATAGTGTTGGTTCACAGGTTGTATGTTTCATAGACTTTACAAAATAAATCAATTATGTTAAAAACATGCCACCCTATTAAGTCATAGGCAAGCCTCATAGGTAAATTCAGTTACTTTCACTCCTGCTTTAATTTTTAGTAAGCCTATAACATTTTTCTCATAACTTCAAACAAATGGTTATTCCAAAAGAACTAGCACCTCTGGCATGAGGGCTTGCCGAGCTCTTTTCAGGGCTACTTATTCACTGTCAGCGTCCACCTTCATCCAACTGTCACCTGAGTCTTCAAAAAACTGCAGCATGTGCAGTGGCCACACCACGGTAAAACCATCGGCAGATGGGCTAAACCAGGTTGAGGGTAACTGACAGGCCTCAACCCATAGGTGAATTAGGGAGATATCTACCCCAAGCATGTAAAGACTTCCCCCCAGCAGAATGAGTGGATGAGAACAGTTTGTTCCAGCATCCATGAACTTGGTTTGAAGCAGGTACCGTGAAGCACTTAGAGCTTGGTCAGACACTGAAGATGCCCCAGGTCATCCACTGTATCCTGAGCCATTGCCAATTGTCTTGACTTTGTCCTGCCACTGGACTTTGATGACCCTGGAAGAAAGAGTAAGGCTGATGATAAGTGCAGCTCTGCCTTAATTAAATCTAACTCACCCACAAGTCAAGACATCCCCCCCATTATGTCACTGGGCCTCTTCAAAAACAAAGAACAAACAACAACAATTTACATGTCTTGGAGTTATAGAATGTTAGAGTTGGAAGGGAACCTTAGAGATCATCCAACTCATCCCTCTCATTTCACAAATGAGAAAAAGGAAGCGCTGAGAAAGGAAGTGATTTGTCCAAGGTCACATGAAATTGGCATTAGAACCTAGATCCTAACTCAATCTGTGTGTTTTCCACTGTACCACATCACCTCTATCTTGGTCTCATTTTGGAGTTGTATAATAGAGATGCTATACTTTGTGACTATTGCATATTATAGCTTTTTATCATACATATTAGGAGACTGGCTGCATTTGTAGGGAGAGGGCCCTATCTATAAATAATCTAATCCAATTTTTACAGATGGAAAACTGAATAGTTGAGCTAGTAAATAGTATTTTCAGAAATGTGTTTTTCAAAGTTATAGTGTCAGAGTTGTAGAAATAAAATTTAGAAATAAATCTATATCTTCTATTAGTAGATTGATTTAGAGATCTAACTTAAGAACAATATTATGCAATCCCTGTGATAAACCAAGAGCAATGTTGTAAACTCTTATTTCCTAATGCAACTTTTCAGTCCTCCACTGATTATAACCATTTAATATCTCCTGGCCATCTGGTTTAACTGCATTATACCCAACTAGAGCCCATCAGCTTAATGTGAGCTCATCAACTTTTGCTGTCATGTACAAATTTCCTTCATGTTAGAATATTGCATGCTTATGCTCATTTGCTGCAGTTATTTTTTTCTCAGAATTTGTTCTTTACTCAGCATAATCATAGAGTTGTTAGCTATCCTCTGGTTTTCTTGAGAGGAAGGAAAGTATACTACTAAAGTGTCAACATCGGATACTAGATCAGTGTCTTGAAAAAAGTAGAGGTTTAATAATTGTTTGTTGATTTAGCAAAGGTGCAGGTTATAAAATAAACTGATATAAATCATTGGCATTTCTATATATTACCAACAAAGCCCAACAGCAAGAGATACAAAGAGAAATTCCATTTAAAGTTAATGTAGACATTATAAAATAGGAGTCTACCTGCTGAAACAAACCCAGAAACACAATTACAAAACACTTTTTACACAAATAAAGTCAGATCTTGGAAAAACATCAGTTGCTCATGAGTAGGCCGAGCTAATACAATAAAAATGACAATTCTACCTAAGTTAATTTACTTATTCAGTGCCATACCAATCAAACTACCAAAAAAAAGTAATTTATAGAGCTAGAAAAAAACAATAACAAAGTTCATTTCGAAGAACAAAAGGTCCAGAATATCAAGGGAACTAATGAAAAGAAATGCTAGGGAAGGTGGCCTAGCTATTCCAGATCTTAAATTGTATTATAAAGCAGCAGTCATCAAAACTACTAACTAAGAAATAGAGTGGTGGATCAGTGGGATAGGTTAGGTATGCAAGACATAGTAGTCAATGACTATAATAATCTACTGTTTGAGAAACCCAAAGACCCCAGCTTCTGGGATAAGAACTCACCATTTGACAAAAACTGCTGGGAAAACTAGAAGAGTATGACAGAAACTAGACATAGACCAAAATCTTACACCATATACCAAAATAAAATCAAAATGGGTTCACGATTTAGATGTAAAGGCTGACACTATAAGCACCTTGTCAGATTTATAGAGAACAGAAGAATTTATGACCAAATGAGATAGAGAACATTATGAAATGCAAAATGGATAATTGATTACATTAAATTGAAAACTTTTTGCACAAACAAAGCCAATGCAACCAAGATTAGAAGGGAAACAGAAAATTGGGAAAGAATTTTTACAACTAGTGTCTCTGATAAGGGCCTCATTTCTAAAATATATAGAGAACCAAGTCAAATTTATAAGAGTACAAGTCATTCCCCAATTGATAAATGGTCAAAGGATATGAACAGGCAGTTTTCAGATGAAATTAAAGCTAGCTATAGTCATGAAAAAATGCTCTAAATCACTATTGATTAGAGAAATGCAAATCAAAACAACTCTGAGGTACCACGTCATACCTATCAGATTGGCCAACATGACAAAACAGGAAAATGATAAATGTTGGAGAAGATGTGGGAAAATTGGAACACTAATACATTGTTGATGGAGTTGTGAACTGATCCAACCATTTTGGAGAGCAATTTGGAACTATGCCCAAAGGGCTATAAAAATGTGCATACCCTTTGACCCAGCAATAGCACTTCTAGAGCTGTATCCCAAAGAGATCATCAAAAAGGGAAAAGGACCCACATGTACAAAAATATTTCTAACAGCTCTTTCTGTGGTGACAAAGAATTGGAAATTGAGGAGATGCCCATCAATTGGGCTGTATTTTTAGCACAGTATTTTCTAAAATTGATTTGGGCACAGAACACTTGGAACTTACAAGTCCATAAATGCTGCTCTGGATTTATGCAATGTGCATTTGATAAACAGGGGTGAAAGAGAAGGAAAGGTGGTTGAGAAAAGCAGGAAATTTTATAGCACAGTAGATGTTTATGACATTTTCAGATGACTGAGATGAATAACACATGGGATGACAGGATTAAAATAATAATAGCTATTATTTTTATAATGCTTTAAAGTTTGCTTTACAGATTTCTTATTTTATCCTCACAACAACTCTAGGTCATAGATGCTATTACCCCCATTTTATAGATGAGGAAATAGGCAGACAAGAGGTTAAGTGACTCACCCAGGGTCACACTGCTGTGATCTCAGTAGGCTAAAGTGCTGGGCTGAATCTAAAATGAAAGGAACAAATATAAATTCTTGCACTAAAGTACAATAAAATCAACCTCATGAGTTCAAGATGAGTTAAGTATTGCTAAACAATTTATCTGTTAAATAAAAGTGTGTGTGTGTGTGTGTGTGTGTGGTGTGTGTGTGTGTGTGTGTGTGTGGTGGGGAGGAATTGGTGGACCACAAGCTCACACGGAATCAACAAACTAACGTGGGCATAGCCTGCACCAAAAAGCAGTGTGGTGCACTGCAAACAGTTCCAGAGGACCTGAGTAACCTCTGTGTCCTTGGGCAAGTTTATTAACCTCTCTGGGCTTTAATTTCCTGATCTGTAAAATAAGGAGTTTTGATTAGATGGCCTCTAAGAACCTCTTCCAGTTCTAAATCCTAAGAAATCCTGCTGTTCTTTGCCCTAGTCAGGCCACATCTAGAGTACTGTGTTTAATTTTGGACACCATGTTTTTGGAAGAACACCATAAGCCAGAGAGTATCCAGAGGAGAGCAGCCAAGATGGTGAACGGCTTTCAAAGGGATTGTTTGAAGAAAATTGGGCCAGGTTAGCCTGGAGAACAGAGAACCTAGCAGGGACATGACAGTTAGCTCTGTGTAAGTATCTGAAGGGCTATGGTGGAAGAGGGATTAGATTTAGTAGAGGGCATAACTAGCAATGATGGGTAAGAACTTAAGGCTTAGGCTTGATATATGAAAAAACTTCCTAACAATTAAGAACAGAGGTAGTGGTTTCCCCCTTATTAGAAGTATTCAATACTATTGATGAGCAGGTGGATTTCAGAAAAACCTGGAAAGGTTCATATGAACTGACACAAAGTGAACTGAGCAGAACCAGGAAAACATTGTACATGGTAACAGCAACATTGTGCAATGATCAGCTATGATAGACTTAGCTCTTCTCAGCAATGATCCTAGACAATTCCAAAAGACATGATAGAAAGTGCTATCCACATCCAAAGAAGGAACTAGAGTCTGAATGCAAATAGAAGCATACTATTTTCACTTTTTTCATGTTTTTTTCTTTTTTTCTTTTTCTTCTTTCACAACATGCCTAATGTGGAAATATGTTTTACATGATTGCACATATATCACCTACATCAGATTGCTTGCTATCTTGGGAAGCAAGAGGGGGAGAGAGGAAGAAAAATTTCAAACTCAAAATCTTTCAAAAAATGGATTTTGAAAATTGTCTTTACATGTAAATTGAAAAACAAAATACTATTAAATTAAAGAAATTAAAAAGTATTCAAGCAGAAGCTAAATGACTAGCCATTGAGTATGGTTGTGCAGGAAATTTGTGATCAAATATATAGGTTAGACACGATGGCCTTCAAAGTATATTCCAACTCTGAGAATCTCTGATTTTATAATTAAATTTTTTGTCCACATTCTCAGATTGTTGATTATAATAAGTATAATATTTAATATTTTAGAGGGACAAATGTTGCTAGCATTGGAATTTCCTTATTGTTACAATGAAGAAAGAGCACAGTTTGGGAAATGCTGATCTAGCACTTACTTAGTATGGTATTTCTCACATTATTTACCCAGGTCATGTGGCCCTAGAAAGGCGTGCATAAGGAAGAACTGGGTTCAGGTTTCTCCTCTTACACATATAGGAGGATGTGGTAACCTGGGCAAATCACATAACCTCTCAGTGCCCCATGCAGCTATCTGAAGCAATAAATTACCAAGAAGATGCTGACCTACTTTGGTAGAGAAAGTGCCTCACCACAATTTCCCTATACAGATGAAATCATAGTTTAGTTTAAAAGAAAAAAAAGCTTATCAGCAATGTAAATGATGGTGCCTATCATTTAGAAAATTAAAAAATGCTCATCTGTTGAGATTTATGTCAAGAAATATTTTGGATACTGACCTATCCCTAAGGTTTGTAGACATTTTTTTCCCCAAAAGCCAAATATTTGATAGCATTGTGGTAAATAATGACTTCTGAAAGGAAAAGGCATGCATCAGTGCCACCGAGAGGCTAAGGTTTTTTATAAATACCAAATTTAAACAAGTGAATATAAAACTAGATACAGTCCTCTTGGTTCAATGATTTGTAGATGAGATTTATTTTTAAACCATCAGTGAATGTTGACTGTTGTATAAAACAGAAAAATAAAAACAATT